TAATCAGTTACATCATGACCACAATTTCGTTACAAAATAAAGAGAAAAAATACTAAAGGGAATACAAAAATGTCTGTATGTGTAACATTGTTCATGTTTATGTAAATTATGCAAATGTGCTTAAATTCCATTCCCCACACCTACCCTATCTAAATTTGTACCAAACACGATGAAAGATTATGCAGCACAACTGCAATTGTTGCCCCCAAAAAGCATTTAATATGATTTCAACGTGACATAGATTTAAGAAATTGGCATTTGGCTGGCACATATATTTTATTCAAATTAATATGTTTATAGAGGGCGCTATTTCAAAATATGCAAATAAGCTGGTCATCTATGGCCATGCAACATCACAAAACATTTTGTTAGTGATGGTCCTAGAGAGATACAGACATTTGGCTGCCAAAAATTGTAGAAAAAAATCCTTATTATATATTTATTATTCATTTTTAAAGGAAAATCATGTACTTTGGCGGCCATTTTGTATGACGTCATATATCTTAAATTGCTCAAGGCTGACAGAGTGTCAGCAATCGCATTCTTGAAAAAGAAGGTCTAGGCAATCAAAATCCATTGAAAAAAAAACTATAGACCCTAAAACAAGGTTAGGCCAATAATCTGCATTTGGCTGCCGGACTATGAGTACAATGGATACAACTAATTCATCATTAAATAAGATTGTTATCTATATAAGGCTTCTGAGTGGTACAATAAATCAGTGTATTTAAGATCTTAAGCGCAAAAGATCAATATTGTTTTCATATTTTGAACATATTTGTGGCTTAAACCCAGTAAATAAGATCGATTGATCGATCTGTAATTGAAAAAAATACAGATCGATCAATCGATCTTATTTACAGGGTGTAAGCCACAAATATGTTCAAACTATTGAAATTTCTCCCAGGAAGAATTAAATTTATTAAAAAAAATGTTTTCATATTGTTCTGTAATCCAGGAACTTCAACTGTCCATACAATATTGCTTGATTATTATTACACTTGTATTGTTATTTCCCTAGTCAGCCCAATATAGATAATAATAATAATAATAATAAGATTGTATGGCTTTGTTTTTGTGTGATAAAAGAATATATTGCTTTTGCTGTGACAATATATTCTTGTATCACACTCAAAGCCATCCAATATCATACAAGTCTTTCATACAATTCCATGTGTCATATAATATATATATATATATATATATATATATATATCTCATTGGTCTCAGTTTTGTAACAAAGTCACTATGAAAAAGCCTAAATAGGCAAATCATTAAATCTTTGATATAGCATCCCCTAAATAGGGTGTTAAAAAGTATGTCTCCTGGATTCCTTCAAAGTAATATGGGTTTGATTAGCAACTTTGATTTAAAAAACAAACAACAAAACATCAATATATATTCAAATTGAAAGGATCTGTCTAAATTTAAAAGTAAAAATCAAAATAATTCAAACATTCATTTAAAGACTTTGTGAATGAAGAAGGCATTACCTTGCAACTAAATATCAGTAGATATCTGATATATTACATTCAATACAATGACATGAAGGCAAATAGAAGTGGAAAAAAATAAGTAAGGTGAAAATCAAAGTGATAAATATTAATAATTACCAATAAAACTGTTATTTCTTAAAAATTCAGAACAATTCAAAACATAGCAAGTCCTACGCATACAAGACGAACCGTGACAGTGCATTTATGGAAAGATTACAGTCAAGATCTTCAAATTGGCAACACATGGTCAACACAAACACACAAATATATATTTCTCCTAACCAGTTAGCAGTTAGTTTCACTCTTGATGGGGAAAATATGTCAAGACAAGTACACAATAAACCCACTATTGCCAATTTGAGGATGAAATGCTGGTCGTTCCGCCCTAAAGAAATATTTCTTTTCCTTTTAAAAATCTGATGGCTCTTGCAAGATGCCCTACATAATGTATTGATGAAATTCAACACTAAACCACATTTACATATTAAAGGGTGCCAGCCCTTAAAACTTGATGAACTGTATTTATACAATCAATATGCGATCTTTAAATGTATCTTTTTAATAATACATACACAAAATCATTCACAGGCATGGTGCTCTCAAGAAGAAAGCAACAAAAGAAAAAAAAACTTAAAATAAATACAAGCATAAAAGCATAACTTATTAGATAACACACCTCTTAACAAATCAAGAAATTTTTTACAAAATAATTATTTGCTCAAGGTTAATTACTATACAGCTATTCATTTGGTACTGATCAATAGTTCACTACTAGTCTCTTCTTTCACTCTTACATAGTACTTAAGAAATATGATCTTGTGACAATACTAAAAACAAACAATTTCTGAAACTCTCAGCCAAGTGACTTTATGATCAAGGACCTAATTATTTGATTAACACAATTTCAATTTCAGGGGAATTCAAACTTCAGTAAAGGAGGAAAATCTAAATCGGCTGGGAGTTGTAGTTACGTCAGACCAGTAGTACCATTCTCTATGATTAAAAGCTGATTCAGCATTTCTTATGCCCAGAAGACTTGACACTAAAGGTTTTTATTTACAATCTAAACCAGCAAAGTGTTCTTTATTTAGATTTCCATAACTCATATAATTGCCAATTTGTCAGGATTTGGATCGCAGTCGGACCTCGTAGTGTGCCCAAGGCTTAAATGTAAAGACCAGTTTTGAAAACGCCCCCCCCCCCCTTCCCTTCTCAAAAAATGAAATGAAAGCTCTTATTACCAACCATGTGAAAGAATATGTTTTGACTAATACGTGATGATACAAATTTGCAGAGACTCGACCTTGCCAAATAGTGGGATATTTTGCAAACTATCCCAAAATATCTTGGGATGACAATCCCGACCAAATATCCTGCTACTTGCAACTACGGCAGAGATCCCAACCTCTTGACACAAGAAAACAGACTGAGTATCATAAAAAAAAAATCAGATTTTGGAGAGAAAAATCAGATTTTCACAAAAACTTGACACTACCAATGGCCGGTTGGCCCCGGGCCAGTAAAATTTCAGAAAAATGTGATACTGGTACGTACGGTCAAGTAAAATGTTTGCTCTTTCATTAAAATTTTAAAAGAAAATTGTAAAGCAAAGTTTTTGTTGGGGCTGTGGAGGTTTACTTGTTCATGTTTTAATGCGAAAAAAAAAAAAAAAAAATGTTTTTGTTTGTTGAAAAATCATATTTTAAGAGGTGATATCGTATTATCGTATTCCACTCTTATTATCGTACTAAATACGATTAAATCGTACTGGTTGGCACGTCTGCTACGGGCTGATGAAGATGCAGATTAGCTGGATAGTATGCGATCGGAATAGTTCAAATAGGGGGATATTTGGCAATCTCGAGCTAGTGAAGACAGTCCTATTGACTGCAACAGGGCTTACTAATCTTGTGACAAATAGCATTAGTGCTGGGCTAGGACATGAACTCCCAACCCCCGGATAAGGGTCAAATTTTTGTTATTACAACATTTCAACAAAGTATTGTGTCTTTGGCAATGAGTTATGTTGTCATATTCAAATCTTCCTAATGCGAAAGATTTATAAATAGATTTCTACACAATTTGGTGAACAATTTTCTTTGTTTGGTTTCATTTGCTATTTCATTGATTGGAATTCTCGCTGTCCATGATACTTTGGACTGACTTTGATTTGTTTTACATCAAATGTAGAAATAATGAAAATAGTAAAAACAAAGTAGCAGTAAACTTATGACTTTAAAAAAACAGTCAAGCATCCACGATGGCAAAAAACAAATTATCTGAAAAGTACAAGCTTATTATATTTGTCTTATGATTTGCAATTAAGAGTTGATAGGTAACTGTTTGTCATAGAACCAGAAAAATCACCTGTTTTGTCAGACCAACCAAGAATAGCATAAAACATCTAATAATTCTAGCCATAAATCAAAATAAAATTACACAAATATGACCACAAGGTCGACAATACCTATTACCAAACAATTACAAATATTATTTTCCCCTATGTTTCTAAAAGTTAAAAAAATATCATGTTATGTTTTATTTATGTGAATTAAGGCTTACATAGTAATTCTAAATGATCAGTGCCTACTACACACACATCATGGTAGAGGTACACAACTGTATTTGCTAGAATCAAATCATACACGTTAAAAGTAGAATAAAGATATCAGGCTTTAATTGTGAAAGAACTGTAATAAAATTCAAATTAAAAAACAAAATTTTTCAATATCAATTTCACCAAGATTACAATTTTAATAACAGAAGAATATCATTGATAAAACTTATTAGTACTAGTTTCATTAGACTAAATTTGTATCTCTTCCTACTTGGGGATTTGATTTACTCATAGACAGTAGTGAAGTGTTTTTTCTCTCTCAACAAAAATTTTCAAACCGATGCACTCTTAACCTACTGAGCTGAGCTATTAATTAATTGCAATTGTATGCTGTGTCTGCAGCGACTTATAAACATGCAGGTTTTTAGCATAATATATGCATGTGTTAGAAGCCTGAAAATCTTAGTTAATTTGAGTACAGTACCACTGTGTGTCTCGCTACGTCCCAATATTAAAGCTACATTACAAGGCGGTTCCAGATCAGAGATCATCTACATTCACAGAAACCAATCGAGCTGTAGTCTTCTGTTTATTAGTACATCCAAATAAGCTACGTTACAAGGCTGTTTCGAAACACCTGGTTCTCGGTTTACACAGTTTAAAGGCATCGTTTAACAATGTTAAATCTGAAATGCACGGCCCTACATGTTATCAGTGTCTGTGATATGGTGTAATATTGAATCCCTAAAAAAATTGTGCTTCAAAATGATTAAGAAGTGCCTCAAAAAAGTAAAAATCTTTGAGTGACTGGTTTTACCATACCCGTTTTCCCCAATAGACTGTAGAGTTATGAAAACCATTTGGCAAACAGTTTTCAAAATTTGTAATTCCAATCATAAATATCTTGATAATCAGACAGGCGATCGGCTTGTAAAAGTCAAGGGGTTCCTGACTGTCCTAAAGGTTTATAATTATGATTGCAGCTTGAGCTATATCCAGGTTTTTTTCTTCAGAATCTGAGACAAAGTTACCAGATCCCTTTAAGGGAGATGTTGCAGAGAATAAAGTCCTGTTTTCTAACTCTCTGGTATTTCATCTATGTCATCACACATGTTGCCCCATTTACTCTTACAGCATAGGATGCATGGGGCTACAAGGAGAAGGAACGGTGACGCGATGAGAAGCAGGAATCCAAAACCAGCAAACACACATACAATCTGTAGGGAGATAAAGAAAATATTACTGTTGCAAGGCAATATATTTTACTCACTCAGTAAGGAACAAGCATAAACAAATTCCAGTTGAGGAGCCTACACAGGTTCTGCAATGACATCATTCTGTTTAAATGTATATTCATAGATCAATCTTTACTCAAATGGCACTCCAACAGCTTTGAATAAACAAACCTGCCAGCTTTTCACAATTTGCAGAATATTTTTCTACAAGGTTTCATGAAGCACATCTTCCATTTGAAGCGGGACTGCTCTACTTGTGCCCTCTTTATAGCCGACAATGCCTAATGGGTATCCGTTGATCCCCCATGGTCCCCTTTTTCTTATGTTAATTGTGAGCTGATTTGATGAGATAACCATCTGCCAGGGAGGTCTAATCCCTCCTGGCCAAACTAGTGCAGATAGGCTTTAAAGTCTTTCATATTCTACTTTGCATGAGACTTTGTAATCACCCCCGTAAAAACTAGGGGTTTGCGCCAACCCCCCCCCCCCCCCCATTTCAAAATATAAGTATATATATTTATTAATTTTTTGCTCAAGGGGTGGGGTGTTAATTAAGAAAAAGTGGTGCTCCATACCCCCCCCCCCCCCCCCCCCCCCCCCCCTGATTCGCCGCTAAATATTATAAGTGCTCATTTTCCCTTTCAATGTCTCACCCTCACCTCTGGCTAAAAGTTGGTTACCCTAAGAATCCCCCCCCCCCCCCCCCCCTTAAAAAAAACATGGTCTCATGCAGAAGGTGAATGCTAACAAAACTTTACACAAAAATTCAAATATACACAGATCCAAATCATTCTAACAATTAAACTGCCTTGAGTGAAAGAACTGTACCTGAGCTCGATGAAAGATAACCGTTGTCCTGGAATGTCCAAGCTTATTCTTGCAGGGTCCCTTGTCATAATGACGCAGCAGAAAGTCATTCTGTATCGGAGGAAACATAACGTGTGACTTGATATTACATAAAAGACATTGCAGGGCTCCAAGATATGAACACATCACCTTTTCATTGTCAGCAATCATTTACAGATTCCAGAAAGAATTCTCTCCCTTTTTTACCACTATGCCTGACTACTGTTATTGCTACAAATTCCTCAAATTGTTTCTTACTTATTTCTTTATTTCGTTTACTACTACTTTACAGATTTCTGCACTTCTTCTGGAAAAGTTATTCTTTCTTCAGCTCACTTTTTACTTTATTTCATAATCTCTTTGTTCTACTCCTTTTTCCCTTTTTTTCCCTCCTTTCTTTTTTCTTTTTCATCTTTCTCTTAATTGACTTTACTACACTCATTATCCTTCCTCTTCTCACTTTCTTCTTCTTGAACTTCTTTCATTTTTCCTACATTTTTTAAAATTCACTCTTCTTTTCCTCCTCTTTTACATTTTTTATAGTGCACATGTTTCACAAGGTGCTCAAGGTGGTCCAATATTACCCCTGGCCAGCTTTGCTAGGATTCCGTTTAGAGGCTCACAGCATCTCACTTAATTTTCCTCCCTCTTCATTCACTGTTCTACTTCTTCCCTATTAAAGACTATCTATACTCACATCTAAGTTTGCCAGACAGTACCAGCAGAAGACATGTTGACAGTTCTTACACATCATCTGAGCGCACCCAGCATCCCTTTCAATGGGTATATGACAGAACGGACAGCGCTTGATTGATACCTCATCTGAATCATCTTTCTGGATACTGAAAAGAATTGAAATAAACAAGAGAAATGACAAAACTGCTCCTTGTATACACAGACCACAGACATAGAAGTACATGCACATGTCACATACCCTGATTCTCTTCTAACAAGCGATTGTCGATTTTTTTTTTTGTTGTCTTACATTCCACACAAATGTGCAAGCTACATGCGGCAGTTCTTTCTGTACACGTATGAAAAAAGAACAAGTACTCTCCGGAGCACTGACACACCAGATGATTCTGCAAACAATATTTTTGGTTTAGTAAATGGTTCTTCATTCTTGAAGCAAAGATTGTGGAGTATGTTGTGTTAGATATGTAACTCATTTGGTTAGACATTTTTATATTGATATTAAGTTCTCCACAAAAGTATGTTCTCCTTTTCAGCAAAAAACTAACTCAAACAAATGAATAATTACACAACTGCACATATCTTCTCCTGATGAATTTTGTTCCCCTTTAAGTACAAAATAATCTTCAGAATTACAGAGAAACATGTAGATAAAGACCACTCAGGGGAAACAGAAATTATATTGCTAAGTACAAGTTTATGTAAATTAATTTCAATGAGAAGCAATGTTCTTGAGGAACATACCAATTTGGTTGTAGAAGCTTGGTCTTTCTATACAGGTTTAACTGTGACAGGAAAAGATATGACTGAATACTATCCATATCAAACATCTGGGCAGTGGATTTACAAAATCATATTACACTTGTTTGTAATCCTGAAAAGGCTTATCAGTCAGTATAAGACCATATTTACCGCTGTCTTATGCTAAGGTCACAAAGATTTGTAAAACGATAATTTCGTACGAATCTCCATTTCGTACGGCGTTCGTAATGGCATTTGTGACCACGGCTTTACATCCAGGAATTTGGCAATCGAGTTGGGCAAACATTTGTTCTAGTTCAGGCAATAAATGTTGTATCCCCCTCAAGCCCAGTCAATATAATATAAATACTAACCCTAACATATCAAGGATATGAGATGTTCCTCTAGACTTCCCTGAAGTGCTGCCTGTTCCTCCTCTAGATAGTTTACTACAAGGTCTTCCACCGTGCCATGGAGCTTTGCAGATTGAACAGAATGTAAGACCACACTGTACAAGCAATTAAAAAAAAAACATGACAAATATTAACAGATTACATAAAACTATGGATTTCTTAACCCCTACATTAAATGTAATATTAGAGTGTCCAAGAGGTTCAGTGTCATTAGAATACTAATCTCATTTTACCAAAATTTCAAGAAAGTAGGTACATTTTATTTACCGGGTATATATGTATGTTAATAAATTCCAGTATAAATATACAGTTTATACCCTGTCCAAAGCCCCGAGCTCCCAACAACTTTTGTAAATGGGCAATTCAATGTACATGTATACAGATATGAACTGCATGAAAGACCTTAGCCAGCTATTCAATTTGACTGCTTTCTGCTTTCAAAACAGCTTGCAATCAGGGTCGGATTATACACTACAAACCTAAAGTAACTTAGTAACAGGTTGTTTTTTGTTCTCAATGCATTGTCACTGACAGTTCATGAACATTTTAGCAAGAGTACACCTTTCATTGGCTCGTTGGAGAAATAATGAGAAAAGCAGGACGCTTTACCTTGGAACAGTTGAATTTTTTCCCGTTGATACGGATGAGTTTCTTTCCTTTAACCTTCCGTCGTTCCTCTTCTTGTTTCTCTTTTTCTTTTTCTGTCTGTCTGCAGACTGTATTACACCCTACCCTAGGGCACCATGCACGGCCTGGGTCTAACTCCACTTCTATAGAAACAAAGATGATCAAATACATCATTAACCCTGTCCATTAAGGCCAAGGAAGGGAATAGGTGAAAAGAGACCATTTTAGTAGTAGTAGTAGACTTTATTGGATAACTTGTTTAGCACAGGGCTAATCTTCCACAAGGTCCATCTGGGTATACTGGTATACTGGGGTGTGTGCAGGTGAACCACTACACCGGGGGTTTCCCCCTACTCTTATACAAATAGTGCAGTGGGTTCTTAACGTGCAAAGGTAATGACTCTCCTCTACACGGATCCTCCATTTAACGTCCTATCCAAGGGACCTTTCTAATCAGGCTCTACAACACGTATTTCTTCATCAAGGGAGATAACATATCATTTGTCCACTTTTGACATATTTCCTATATAGAGAGGTTGCTATTAAATAAGATATTCATGACAAAGAATTAAAATGTAAAAGGCCAATCACAATGTTCTTATCAAAATGCTATGAGAGATCTAACAGTAACCATTTTGTCACTTTCCTAAAGACTTGATGCAGAAAATCACAACCAAAACAGTTTTAGTGTAAATGAATAGCGAATAGGGGTAAAGAGAAAAATAGGTCCATGGAACCACGGCCTGCCACTATGCATACTGTATGATCATGTGTGTGATCATGTGAGCTATATCTCCATGCCCTTCTTACAGTTTACCTTCACATTGTTTAAGATGGATACAATGTCATGCTTGACACAATCGTGCATTGTACATTTTATCATGAAACAGTTGTTCTTTCATAACTTTGAATATAAGTCTTACCTTTCATGAACTTGACTTTCTTGAACCTTTCAAAGAGAGCATCATCTACCAACAATTGAATCTTCAGAAGAAGATAAAAAAGGAAAAATCAATTGTTAATCAATGCTTTACATGCACAGATAAATGATTTATGTGATACACTGATAAAGGTACACCTACTTTCTTATCAATCTCAACCCCCCCCCCCCCCTTTCAAACCTCTCTAAACAACATCCAAGTAGTGGGAAGGAAGCCCTTAACATGAATATAAACGTCTTACTTATCTTTTCTTTGATGAAGAAAGTTATTTTCATACTGAAACCGAAACATGGACATACAACCTGTAGATGAACACCGTACATACTGTACATGTACTGGTAAAAGTTTTTCCTCAAGATGATATCTTTAATCAAATTCAACAATAAAACAAAGACTACAAACCCAAACATCTCAGGCATGGAAATTCATTTAGGATAAATGGCAGAGAAGATGATACATTTCCTAAATCTCTTTAAAAGCTTGACTTATGATCATGTAGTTTAATACTGACCTTCAATTTAGAAATGTCAAATTGGGAAACACTACTAACAGCTGAAAATTTGGGAAGTAAAGAGTTTTGTATTGCAACCAAAAGGTGAAGTCTTAAACATTTACTTACATGTTCATGTACATGAACCCTCAGGATAGAAAGAAAAAAAAAAAAAAAAACTGTTGCATAACTCTACCTACTCATACAATCCTGCTTACGTTTGCTTCTTGTATGGGCTTTTTATCCACACTATCAAAATTGGATTCATGAAGTAATAATATGATTCATCCAGTTAACTTTTTATTATATGTGACCTATTAGCTTGTACAAACAGTACTTCAGAAGAGCTATCTGATATTTCAACAAGCTGTGTTCTTGCTAAGCTACATGTAAGCCTACCTCTTCATCTGCTATCCTGCCGTGCTCCTTGCACGCAGCGTCCGGACAGGTTACAATAGAAACAGCGCCCTCTTCTGTCAAGACCACCAAGTACTGTTCAAGACACTGATAATGGAAAGATGCAAAACACAATAATAAATGAGACACTGGTCAACGGCGAGGCACGGAGGAAACCAGGACAACAAGTAAACTAGTGGGGGTAAAGGGGTGATCACAAAATGTAAACAAATATGCCAATATGAATTCATAGTTGTTGGTGTCTTTGCACGATCCAGGCTATTCTGTCCTCTATGTTAACTATTACATCTTGGATTTCAGTACACATGTATCTGATGACTGCATCACCCTGATAGCTGCAAATTCCTGCAATAAAGCTTTGATCAGACAAAAACATCCAACAAAATAATCTTTTTATGTCAATTATAGTTATAATTCCTTAAATTCAATGTCGTGTAAATACTTATTAGCATACACAATGGAAATACCTTTAACTTTCCTATAAATCAACAAAACAGTATGGATTAAGATAATATATACAGCTGTACTATTATTTGTAGATCTGGGCCAAGATACATGTAATAAACATCTTGAACTTGCAAAACTTGAATTTCAACATCTGAAAGCACGACATATTTTCTTCAACATAATGAAGAAAGATAAAGGCTTTGTGATAGAGGATAATTTGATTATTATGCAGCATGAAACTTGAACTTGAACCAGAGTTTTTGCTTGAATGTAAATTTAGGTTGCTAGGCAGAGACCTAAGCAATTGCCTTGGTTGTCAAATTCAACTTTGGTTTTGTTTTCTGCGGTTATTTCCGGTGAACTGAACAAAATTCACATACAATTATGATGAAGATTACTGTTTGAAAGTTAAAGAGAAGGTTGAGTTCTGGGAAGAGGTGAAAAATAATTTGTGAGCATTATCATTGTTATTATGCAACAGATTTGTATACCAGATATTTGTGTATTCCATATTTATGTGTACAGTGCTTGTAGCTTTACCAAGACTGGGCAAAATTTCTTATCATTTTTATGATTCCAGAACCTTGCAGTACACACCAATACTTATATGCTAGATGATCAACCTTTTCTGATCGATTCTTTCACAATGCAATCGCATGACCAGAACTCAACTTTATCTTTAAATCTTTGATCCCAATACAAAATCTTTACCACATCATTTTTCTCTCCAGCTGTTCAGTTACAGCCTTTCGTCAGTGATGTGACCCAACTTTGAAAGTTGAATATCAAACATGCATACCGTATATACATGTATATTACCAATACAGACAACATTTCATGATCATAAATATTTCTTTTTAGTCACCAAAAGAGGAAGAAGGGTAGGAATTTGAAGTGCCTAACAGGCCTTAAATTTCAATATTTTTAGGGCAAGGCCACTTTTCTGTAGGACACATTCTTATGTATTACAGCACAAATAGGAAGTTTTGGAAAGGGCACAAAAAATCTCTAAGGCCAATGAGAGGGGCATTGAGGCCAATCAAAAGGGCATCCGTGGCCATGGCCTTGGTGGGCGGCCTTGGATTAATTTAAGCCCTGGCCTAAGCAGGAGTGGACCACATGCTAAATTCACAACAGTTCCAAGCACACAAGACTTTCTGGTTTGACAGTAATCATATCATAATCTGGTTTAATACCTTTTTGCAGTAAATACAGGAACACCTATGCATTTGATGCATCTCGTGAAGCTTGCATTCACACAGACATAGTTTACAGGTGATCATGGGGTCCAGCGCAAGATTGCCGCTGATGGTTTGACACGACGATACCCTACGACAGCAATGTTCATGATAGGGGGGGCGCTGGGAGGAGGACCCCCTTCCTCGCCCCCTGAGAAGCTGCTCATCCAATGACAGGGTCCGCCATGATGACGAGGGAAGAGAGACGTCTGGGAAGGAGTTCTCGTCTGATGTGGTGCTGGTGCTGCAGCAGCCTTGATCAGACAGTGATTTGGTCTCGTCGTTAAGAGATAAGGTCCGTAGGGACGTTGAGGTACGGATGGCATCTGGACTATTCTCCGGCTGTAATGGATTGGACATGCAAAATGCTTCCTTTCCAGCCATCTCTTCACTCTTTAATGTTTCCTCAAAGTGCCATGAATAATGTTATAAAAATACCATTGTTGTCATGGGATGTTCAGTATGTTTGTAGTCTCCAGTTCTGGTTATGAAACAGAAGAAAAAAATATGATTTCAATCAAAAGAGAAAGTTGCATGTATTACATTTCATATAAAAAAAAAACTACTATTTTGTATAGCATACCCAAAATCAACTACATCTTCAACAATTGTTCAAATAAAGGTCATGATTTCTAAACAGATGATGCATGCGCATGGGTTCACTATATATATACTGCACTCGGGTTGAGGCTGTGTGTACATGTATCTATCGCACAAAGCCGATCTTAGCAAATTGCAGACTCATTTTACTAAATTGGCGCCAACAAGGGCCCTTCTTATTGGCTATCGCTGACTCCCCTTCACTCAATGTTATAAGATATTTGTGCGAGGAGAAAGCTTGCGATTTTCTGTTTCACCCAATACCAAAATTATGATAATTCAGTCAAACCCTCTATTTGTTACGATTTGTTCAGCATCCTTAAAAGGTGAAGTAACATCACTAAAGTTTAAGTCTTAGGTAACTACTTTTTAAGTTCGAACAATTGTCATTTTCGTCATTCTACAAACTGGAAAGTTCATTGATTTTTCTATTTGATGTGTGTGCAATTTTGTGTGTTTGTCAGTTATGTGTGAAGTGCGTCACCTGTTTAAATCATGACATGTCAAAATCTCTATGGTGTGACATAATATTACGTATTGATTGACTTTGCCATTGAACTTAAGTTGCGCTTAAAGATAAACTCCAGTACTGGTAAAAAAAATAAAAATAATTCTCACAGAATCAAACGAAACTTATACTGAATGTTCAAGATTACAAATAAATGACATGTGCCAAACAATTTTGGAAGAAAATGTATACTGGCTGAGTAATGAGCATCTAGAAAGACACGGAAATCAAGGTAGTACTAGCCCCGACACCATGTGTGTTGTCCCATATATAGCTTTCTATGTTAGTGCTTGTTACTTTACCAAGACTCGGTCAAATTTATTATGATTTTGATGACTCCAGAACCTTGCAGTGCACACCAATACTTACATGCTACATGATCAACTGTTTCTGATCCTTTCCACACCTTTTCTTTCACAATGCAATCGCATAATACCAGTACTAAAGTTTATCTTTAACTTAGGTTAAGTAAGTCCTCTCACATTTGAATTCGAGAATCAAAGCAACTCAAACGGATCGGCCAATGAGAGGGCGTAAACTCACTGTACCCGTGTACAGCGCTCAATGCGCAAAATTCTTCGTGCTCGTGCAGATTGCTCGTGTGCATGTTCACACTCACAAGGCGGTGTCTGTCAGACAGAGACCAATCATCTGCATTGTAGTTATCCTTTGAATTGGCTGTCTGTCATCAATTATCTCTTAAAAAATCCCTTAAAAAATCCTTTAACAAAGGAAGAATATTCTCCCTTGAAAGGATTTTTTAAGGGATTTTTCTGTCTGACACTAATATTGAAATAATCCCCTTAAGGTCAGTGTATTGAGTGTAAGGTCAACGACTTAATTAATGATTGGCTGGCATATGGTTTTTAACGCGCTATCATAACCTGCGCACAATTATAACCGCTCGTATTTAACGAGACGCGTTAATTGCGCATTACTTTTGATTGAACGTGTGATGTCACAATGCAAATCTACCTAAACTATAGACCGGTAGACAGACCAGCTCTGGACAATAGTGCTGATTTCTAGCGATGTCCGGATATTCCATTCAGAAGATTAAACTGCTCGTGCGCAATGCCAATGCCAAAATCAGGATTTTAGTTATCCAGATTAAAATTGTAGCCTGTCTGTCACCAGTCTGTCACCGACTCAAATGAAAAAAATAGATTTCTAAAATCTGGTTTATTCAAGATGGGGGTCCAAGATGGGTCAGGATTTATCTGTGTGACACCGCCTACAGTCTCTCTATTGACCTTGCTCAGTCTCGACGTCTCCAGCGCCAGCGCCAGTCACGCATAGACCTCTAGTCGCAACTCAACATGCTCAAGCACAGATGAATCAACACATAATGAGGACCGACTACCGACGGTAATAATCGCCGGTATGTAACTTAAGAATACAGATTCAACGGCACATTCAATACTGCATCATCATGAACCCAACATAATATAATAAATTCTTCTACAAAAAAGAAAATTATAATTGTTATTCAATCTTACATTGGGTCCAACAAGCCAGACATTCCCGATGTTATTATTGTTATGACTTGTCTCGTCGCATACTTCATACACGTATTCTATTGTTCGTAATCCTGTAAAATTACAAGAAACAATCGACAAGCTCACCCGCTGTATGTAGCACCTTCTTTTGAAGCCAATATACAGTTGAGCGTAGCGGTGTAAATATTCAATGAATAATGGCAGGCTTCGAGTTCTATGGGTGCTAAAAAGACGAAATCAACCAGGAAATACGTTATATTATTAAACCATATAGTCCTAATGTACCTTAGGATTCAAATGTATAAATTCTTTCCACAGGACTTACCTCAACAGACTTTTACTTTGAATCGGTTTATCTAAATTCATGTATTACTCCCCCACCCCCCCCTCCCCTAAAAAAAGAGACATACAAACCTATAGGCATTTTCCATTGAAGCAGAATCTTATCATTTCGGGACTTACTTTTAACTCCATAATACTTATACTGTATGTATACTGATTTCAAAATTTTATAATCCCCCTCTTTTTCTCATTAAAAAATAAATGTATATAACTTTAGTGGCATATAGAGTTGGTTCTGCCATTGATGGGGGCACTGTTACAGGGGGAATAAAAATGTATATGAATAAAATGTCTTGCTGTGAGGTGGGGGAAGGGTGGGGGATGGGTTATCACCTTTAATTTTTATGTTGCCTTCTCTCTTTCCTTTTATGTTTCTGTTTTTCCATTTGATTTGGGAAGGGGTGAGGACGGCGGCATGTGCCTTAATTGTGGCTCTTTGTTGGATATCTCTCATTCATAACACTCTTGATTATAGACTTTGTTTCATAACTTTCACAAGTATTTAAGTACCTTCAATACACTTCCATAACTGACATGCATAAATAATACTGCTTACAAAAATATTTTTCTTTACAGTTTGGATTTATTTACAACTTAAACGAAGCATAATAATATTCATATACCGAATTAATAATCAAAACGATGTCCACAGAGGTTTCTGCAGTATGATGATTTCCAAATCACCTATCTGATTTTTAGTGCTACTAATAAACTAAAACTATTAGGAGTGTACGAATATTAAACATAACAATAAGTAAATCTGAACATATTAAAGAAATATGAAATATTAAATATAGGGAACTTCAAAGCTTGTCAGGATTTTTACACAAATGACATGGTTTAAATAAGCATATACAATCAGTGCAGATATATAACTAAGAGAAATAACAAAGCTAAAATTAAAGACAGACATATTACAAACTTCATTTGATTTAGCGAGATAGATCGAGTGGTCAAGGGCAACAAGAGTTCTTTGGTCAGAGTATCATGTGAAATCATAATCCAGTATTTCTCAATAAATGCATACATTCCCAAATTCCCTGTCGTAAAAGATTTGAAGATTAACTTGTTGCAATGATTGATATGGTAAGCTACTCAGTGAAATCATTGCATGTGATTGGCTATGAGCTCAATTCTAACAGAATTATGGAAGTTGTTATTGAAAATCAGGTTATTTGGAACGGGCCCCTATCATACCTGGGGGGCGTTTCACAAAACTTGTCATCAGTGACCAATTTTTGTTATAAGCCACTGAAATCCTTGCTTCTGATTGGTTATCAGCAGATTTGTCATTGATTTTTGTCATTTGTCATTGAAAAAAGGCTTTGTGAAACGGGTCCCTAAAGTATTGGTCACAACCTTGTGAAGAAAATAGGATATTTAAGGGCCTTGTTTTATAAAACTTGTGAACAATAACAAGTTAAATGATCCGTATAAGCTCCTTGCATCTGATAGGCTGTGAGCAAGTCTTTTTAATAGAAGAGTCACCAATGTTATTTATAACAAGTTTTTGTGAAACAGGGCCAAAGATGAGTAAAATCAGCTGAATAAAATAGCAGCTCAGAGAGACGGAAGGAAGAAAAAGTAGCAGAAAGACTTCGGTGATGAAGAAATTTGTCGCAAATAATAATTTCACAAATTATAATAACCCTGGCAAAGTAAAGAGTCTAAAAAATGAACACAAAAGACTTTTTAAAAATAGCCTGAGGTAATGTCAATAGTCTCGTGGGTCACCTTTTGAAATGTATGAAATGACAATGACACGTTACATAATCTAAACAAGAGTTCAATAGGCAATGTTGAAATTTGCCTAAAATTGGTTTCTTGAAAGTCTCTGCGATCTTGTGAGTTTCATATCAAATTCTGTGGTAACATAAATTCAAAAACTGGTCTTAATTTGTTTCACAAACATATTAAACTCACAACTAGCTCCTTTAAACAGTTATTATTACATTGATTTGTGACCATGAAACATTCAATTTGGTGCGCATTTGCTATGATGTATTACTATTTCTGCTGGTTTACAATTGCCGACTCATTTCTAAGTATACCGCTAGAAAAATATCCTTACTATATGACTTTTCTAATTCATGTACAGTCAAAAAACACCTTTGCTTGTATAAAGCAGATCAAATGTACACGCAACACAATGACAACTGCTTTTATAAATTAATCCAAGGCAATTTCACTGTAGCCTTGTATATCATCTATTGAAATGATGTGAGAACATAAAAATGAAATATAACGTAATCCAAACATGATTTCCATGGGACATTCAAAAGGTGTTCACATTGGCCTTCATGAGTTGTTTCTTCAAAAACAGTTGTACTTGTGTTATACATCAGTACAGACAGAGGGGTGATAAAATGTACACACAACAAAATGACATGTACATGTATATTGCAAAGAAACATTTTGTCAAGATCCAAGGTACCTGTGTACACATTCTGTGACATTCTAATAGCTTCTAACAAAATACAGACAAACCTGTCTTTAATAGCATCCATATAAAAGCAATCCGTCTATAATGGTCACCTATATTGTCTAACTCTAGGAATAATGTGTTGTACAACCTGTCTAGAATGACCATATGTTTTTTTAATACAGTGTTCAGTAAGTGGCCTTATAATGGACATGTTCGACTGTAAACTGGTTTATTCAGGAATAGGGCATAGGCCTATTAAGTTCCACAATGTCTTTCTGGGGAAAAACTTGATTTTCTTCTATAATAATCATATGATAATACTAATTTTGTTTACCCAGGGGAGTTTCATCAGCATCAATGCTGTTCTTCCAGAGGGTCCTGCAATTTGCATTCCCTCAGCAACTGCCAGGTACCCATTAACACCTGGGTGGAGAGTGGCAACTGTGGATTAAATGTCTTATAATCACACATCCTTTATTGAAACCGAAATTCAAACAAAAATTATGTATTAACTCTGAAGCCTATGATGACTGCCAGAAAAACAAAACGGGACAATATGATATCTTCTTCTCCTTCTGTATTTCGAGGTCTGGTTTAATTATATTACAACAACACTGCTGTTATACCAATAAGTGAACTCTTTGAATACTAAAAAGCTAAAGGGGTATTCCCCCATTATTGAAACATGTACAATCATTCTGGTGGTGTGTTTAGTATGCTAGTATTATAACGTTGATAATAAGCAGGAGAAAGAATTTAAAAAAAAAAATAATAAAACCCAAGAAATGTCATCGTTTTAACCAATGCTAGCACATATCCAATTGTACAAGGACTAGGAGAACCTCATCTCTCATTAAAAAAATATGCTTTAGGGAGAATTGGCATACAAGGCAGATACCTGCATTTACATTATATATGAATATATTAAATCTCTAACATACGTATATACACATAACCTGTTTATTACTCATGAAAACATTATAACTGGTCTCATATTTTCTTTTCTTTAATGAAGAAGAAGAAATTTAGAAAAAAAATATGTGTATAAACCTTTATATAATTGTTTTTATAGTTAGTAACGTACGTAAATGATTGACCGATCCCCTGTTCTAGGACAAATTGATTTGTTAATACCAGTAAAACCATTACGGTACTTCTCTGAACCTTGGGCACATAACAAATCAACTTTTGATACATACACAAATTAATGCAAACCAATTTTAGCTAGTTTCATGAGAACAATTTGGATTTCAGCATAATGCCTGTGCCATTCATACATTGAAACATAAAGAATTTTATTTGGCTGCGTTTGCTTAGATTTAAAACAAAAACATGTTGTGTAGACTAGAGCTCAGAATTCACACAAAACTTATCTTAATATCATGAGATGGTAGCGATGATTGGTATTAAAGATATCAAGCAATAATAATAACAATAATAATAACTTTGATAATGATAATTATAATGATAATTATAATGATAATTAGACAACAAACTATTGTGCAGTTTTACATTATACTGAAAACAACCCCTCATTAAAAATTGACCCACCACCAATATACTGGTACCTGATGTGAACAGGGTCTATAGACCAACATAGACCCAACCTGGAATGCAACAAGGACATATAGCCTGGTTCACACATGCTATGATAAATCACCTAACAAGTATGCATCAGCAAAACATTATATATTATCTTCTTACATCTTACTTCTCCCTGTGCCACATTGTTACTATCATGCGAGAGATATACCAAAGGCTTCAAGATTATTGACTGTTTTCAGAACCAGATTAATTTATACCAGTGTTAAAAGGGTTGCCATGGAGTTAATCAAGACCCAGAAATGAAGGAATATTACAAAGACATTTTTTCGCCAAAAAATAATCCTTCCGTCAATGAGTGCATTTTGATTTGTGTGAAAATTGCATGTTCGGCAAACAAGCTACTGTAGAGAGAGAGATGAAGGAAGCAAGAATAATGCACTTTACATTTCTATTATATAACAGATCAGTCAGCAAACTTAACTAACAGGAACTTCTGTTGCTCACAGCTTATATTTTCCTACTCCAAACTTGCCATTCATTTACAGGCAAAATGTTTTTATTTTGTTGTAGCAATTTTTGGAGGACGTGTACCGAGTCAAGAGCTCACAAGAATGTATTTCATGGACTTTCATGCCACATGAATTGTGGAAATGGCCTTATCTCCCTGCACATACAGTGTATGAGTACCACTCTAAAAGGGGCAGAATCTGTGAATCAGGTAAACATTAAACATGCACAGTGATTAAAGGTTGTTGATCAACGTACAATAGCATGTACTCTACGGAATATGTCTAGATTATGTCATGAACAGTTCTATGAACAAAATCATTGTCTGCCGGGAGACAAGGGGGTGATACAACTTTCTAGATCATAGTAGACACTTTATTGTATTTAGAATCATGCTACATAGATGTACATGTACATGTATGTTTAGTCCATGTTTCATACATGTACATGAAGTCCAAGCTGACTCTATACCAATTCATAAAGTACATAATGTAGTATAATGGAATGTCATTTAAATTGGTATTGAAAGCATAATTTCACTATATATTTGGGAACATCAATTCTCTAGTAGAGCTAGAAACTTAGAAAACTCATGAGGAAAACTAAAGTTTCTTTGATTTGATATGCTACTCATGTATCCTCTCTCCAGCATCTTCACGCAGCCAAGCACATGTACATTTGTATCCAAGGAATATAAATTATGATTGGTATACCTCAACCATCAGCTACTCCATCAACACTTAAACCTACGCCTCAGCAGCAACATATTGCATTTTTATTTTGTTTCTATTCTATAAATCATTATATATATATAACACCATCACTCTATTGAAGCACAGGGATGGATCATTATAACACCATCACTCTATTGGAGCACAGGGATGGATCATTAGTATTCTCTCTGAGCAATGATTCAAAGGGTATACAAGGTCATCTCTTATTAAATATACATGTACTATAAAAAGGGAAAGTACTTTAACTACTGTATTTTGTTTAAATAGTTTTTACAAAATGATTTTAAACTAAAGAATCACATGTGGGTTTATAAGGGCAGAAATAACTACACTTTATGGTAGGTCTTCATGTACATATACAAGACGGCCCTTTCAAGCCCAACTGTACTAGAAGCACTACCACAAAATCTACTCTAAGGCTGTCTCAGGTCAGCTTTAGCAGTATGGTCCCATAACTCGCTGCACTGTTGGTTTTCGCATCAAGTCCTCTGTGAAGTGGAAATGAGGTATTGGGTTATGCACTGTTGGCAAGTTGACCATGAGATGGCGCTATGCAATACAAGGTACGCTAAGGCAGAAAGTACATGTTTCCTTCCACCATATTCTGGAACATTTTTTTCCAATTACACAATAAATCGTTTCTAATGTACCTACATACGACAGTGTATCTTTTGTACATTCTACATACATGAACATACTTGGAAATGAGTTATCTATACAAGCACATTATATATAAGATATTGCCTATTCACAGAGAGAGAGAACAACATTAACCGGTCAGCTTTGTGCTCTATCATTTGTATAAACATACATTTCTATACACACACTGTCTCCCAGTCTTACACATGTACACTGCTGTCATTAGATATGCTGTACAATCTATAATAGACTCTCATCATATATGTGGGGGTAGAGGTGGAGGAAGGCTATACACTTTTGGATGACATCATAGACCTAGGTTTGCAGCAAAGAGAGAGTCAATGTTTTAGGCCAGCCTTCTAAGGACTTGGTGCTTTTAACTCTTTGTTGCCAGGAACTGAACCAGTGTGCTGCCAAATTTATCTGTGTACAAGATTATATAGACACTGTATGTATCTGTGGCAAAAGTCAACACAAGCAGTCTGTTTCATGTTCTATAAATCAGCAGAAGTAGCAAAGGAGTTGACATATCTTTCTTTCCTCCTTGCTAGAGGTATGTCTGCTCTAGCACCATCACTGTGCAATAGTATAGGATATCTTCCATAAGCTTCATGTATCAACATCACTATGCTTTTTATGGAAAGCAGTCGAATCATGAAGCATTCTTGAAAAGGCCTTGCAGGAAATTCAGCTTATAAGCCAATGATGGTGGAGGATGATCGATCTAGAGGGGTGCAAGATGCGTTCTATGTCTAAGGCTCTATGTCCTACCTGCATGTAAGACTCCAATATGCTACTACAGTGTCAGGTTTACATCCAAAAGTGCACAGCTTACACCTTATTCATACATGGCAAGGTAAACTGCTTTAAAATATAATCATGCCAAGCCGTGATGCAAGCTATTAACCTTCATATAGCTGTACCTTGTATCACACAAATACAAGTACGCATACAAGTTCAAGTTTTATTTGTCCACAGCTGCTTCACAATCATTTACATGTATAAAGATGTTTATATTTTATTTTGGCGTTTGTTTTGTTTTTTCTTTAAGCAGTTTACCAAGTAATGTGTGAACAAACTTTTTCCACCCAATCACAGTCAAACCTGTCAAAGACTACCTGCCTATAAAGACCTTTGATGCTCTTCAATGGTCTTTCTACCCAGGTTTGACTGTATTAATCATTCAAGTACAACAGAGCAGAGGGGGTGAGTCCCTGCCCTATCGTACGCCTACATACACACACACTGCACCGTCCACTCAGCGCACACCCTGCCCTATCATCATTTCCATAAGTTAGTGCTGAGCGTCTGTCCTGATGACATGCCCGTTGCTCCCCATCCTGCTCCTCCTGCACCTGCAGCTCCAGCTATGGGTTGCTGTGCCCCGAAGCCTCCATGCATCCCTGTGGCAGGCTGAGGAGGGTTACTGGGCATACCCCATCCACCAGGCTGCTGCTGTGGCTGCTGCTGGGGCATCACTCCTGGAGCCCCTCCGACTCTCATGTTCTGCATTTGTGCTTGGACCTACAGCAAAGTTAAGAAGACAGTGGGAACTTATTAGATCTCTTGATCATGAATGTTACAAATATTATCTATTCATGAAAAATCAGGTTATTGATGAATAATCATTTGATTCTTGGATACCATGAATATCCATGAATCCATGAGAATCCATGAATATCCATGATTCCATGAATAACCATAAATATCCATGAATACCCCTATTATATTTCATTATATTTCATGAATATTCCATGAATATTACATGAATAATATATCATGAAAATCCCATTTTGAATATCTATGAATATCCTAAGAACTTCCTATGAAAATTTCATGAATTTTCATTAATATTATGAGTATGATATTTCAAATACTTTACAAAAAGTGTGCATTGCTGCTACAGACACATGCAGATGCAAGGAGAATCAAACTTGTATGTTAAGACTTCTTACGAGAGAAAAGAAAAGTGGTCTTTATTTGCAATTGGTCCTTAAATACAGGCTCGTTAATAGTCAAAATGAAAAACCTATTCCGGGTAAAAGACAGTGATCACTAAAGAAAATTCAAAATCTCTTTTTTCAAGAAGAAGTCTCATGGAAATGATAATGTGGGATGAAAAAATAGTTCTTCAAAAGATCAAATTATTGCCCTTTGAAGTTTTGTATCAAATCACTTCATGTAATAAGCAAGTTTGAAGTACAAAATGAGAAGAAAAAAACAACAAATCACCCCTCTATCAACCCACAGGCCACACATTCAGCTATGGTACAGTGGTACTTTCCAGAGAAAGTGATTGAAATGAAACTGTTTGTGAAAACATTAACAAAAACATTCAAACATTACATGCAGATTAAGACATACATTTATACATTCTACATTCAGTTACAGCAACAAGAACAATATACTGTAGAAATAGGGAACATCTACATTGTACAAGAAATTGGTGGGAAGCACTGAAGAAAGTTTGACAACATAGAAACATAAAACTTTCACAAAACTACGTTGTACAAGAAATTGGTGGGAAGAACTCATGAAAGTATGACAACATAGAAACATGAAACTTTCACAAATACATGTAGGGGTAATTTTCCTGACGATCCTCACTTGATTTAGCAATCTAAGATAATATTTGATTTCTCTTTCTTTCAACAACCCAACCAAAATCCACTCTTATAATAATATACGCCTGTATAATTTTTTCTTTTTAAAGAATATAAACTGTTTTTCTATGTAAAATGTGGAATAAATAAATTAAAAACTTCAAACTTCAAACTTCAAAGTGATATCATATATCAAATATCAATACCAAAATATCAAAAAATGCATTTGGTTGCATGAACATTATATTTCAATTTCAAGGGTCCCCTGTGATTACAGTTTGATAACTGAAAAAGCAACCGCAGATAAAATTAATCTATAAATATATAATAAATTAATAAGTCAATAAACAGTACTACAGTGCAATTAGATTTGTTCTTATAATCCCAAATATAAATTCATAGTCACATTATTCTTAAATAAAACAAAATAAATTAATAAAACTGTTAGTGCTAAATTAAAGTTGTATACCAAGTTATTCAGGTATGTTCAAAATGCTTGTTCACATGCACATGCTGGATATCATAGAACCCATAAAACCCCAATACTACTTCTTCCCCCCCCCCCCATACATGTATATATATATTTATTCCTTCATACAATATATTACAAATCTGAATAAAGAAGGAGAAACTGAGAAAACTACAGATGCCCAACTTCACAAAGAATTTCATAAGAACCTTAGCTCCCTCAATCAAAGAAAAAAATATGCATACATACATTTCAAAACTTTAATATTTTCTTTCAGTGATTAAAGTATTGAAATAGCGAACATACGGCTTCTCTTTCATCGCAGAAAATAATGAGTTTTTACAATTGATGGATGTAAGAGTTTGGCAAATAACATATGTGATACTCATTCTATTAAACTTCAACTTCAATGAGCAATGCCTTAGTAGTTTGAAGATAAGAATCAAAATGATTTTTGTCATATTCAATTTTTGAAATAAGCCATGCTAATAAATGAGAAATTAAATATAATGAGAATATACATTCAATTTGTATATGCATATGAGAAATGCATGAAGAAAATATGCAAATGTGAAAGTGCATAGTATGCAGCATGAAAAGCATGAAGGAAGAGCTATGTAAATTAATGTCTTGCATTATTCATAAGCCAACCTGGTGCATTGTATCATACTGCTGTTGCATTTGCATCTGTTGCATATGCCTGAGCTGCATCTGCTCCCATTGATACTGTTGCTGCTGCTGCTGCTGCATTGTGGGTAGGCGGACAGGAAAACCCAGTGCATTTTGGGTATATAGAAGAAGTAGCCATTTAGTGTGTGTGTTGATTATTTGTGTTTTTTGTTTGTTAGGAGGATACGGATACGAATAAGACAGAACAAACATCAAGGGAAACAAAAAGAAAAGATAATAAAAACAATGACGTAACAAAAGTAAGGTTTTTGTTAGTAATCTAACAATATCAAAAAGTATACATAAACAACAATAAAGTTGACGATAAGGCTACCAGTTAAAGAATAATGTGAGTATTTGACAAAGCATTGCAGTGAATGGGCGACATTTCAGGATTAATACAGACATATTGTTCCACTATGTGTTTTTAGTGCACAACGTGCCATACCGGTAGGCAATAATCAACCAATAATATAATGTACCGGTATTCAATACATTTTTTTCTATAATTTTATTTTTCTTTTAACTTTAGTTTGAGCCACTATCTCCATAACACATATTCCATCCAGAAAATTCCATGTCTTTTCAATATAAATGACACAGGCATGAAATATCAATAAAAGCACTTTGGTCTGCCCCTGATTTGAATTATTTGGAAAACAGTTAGTAAATGAATTATTGCACCTGAACATAACATTTAAAATGATGTTAAAAATGACTGATAACTCTCAAAAATATTAATCTTATCTATTCTAACCGCGCTAACTTACAAATAAAACTATTCAACAAAGTATTTTTGCACAGGCCTCTAGATCAATGATTAGGACAGGGCTCTAAGCTTACCCTTTTTTTACATTGAGTCCAAATGAGAATTTCTAAGGTCTGCATACATTGGACTGTTTAACTTTAAAGATTTGGGGCTCTAGTGTGCAAACGTACAGAGCCCATGTTCAGTATACCCTCGTCAAAATGTTATGCCCAAATCATGGAACTTTGAATATAGGAGCACTCCTGCTTGAAAGAATATGTGAAATCATACTAGCAGATTAGCAGTTGTAGTTGAGACACAGACATGTATATATCGAAAGCTCAGCACATATTATCCTAACCTAAATTTAAATTACGGTATGTCTTATTGTTAAAACTAAAGCAGAGTGAGAAAGGCAGAGATGCCAACCTCTTGACACAAAAAAACAGACTAAATATCCTAAAAAATCAGATTTTGGAGAGAAAAAACAGATTTTCACGAAAACTCAACACTACGCCGACGGGCCAGTAAAATTTCAGAAAAATGTTTTACTGGTAAGTACGGTCAAGTAAAATGTTTACTCTTTCATTAAAATTGAATGAGAAAATTGTAAAGCAAAGTGTTTTTTTTTTTTTGGGGGGGGGGGGGGGGGTTGCAGGGGTTAATTTGTATATGTTTCTATGCGATTCAGCTGTTCTTTTGGGTTTAATTTATTTTTTATTTTAAGTATTTAATATCATATTTAACTCTTATTATCATACTAAATACGATTTAATCATATTGGTTGGCATCTCTGGAAAGGGTTAAAGACAGAAAGAGAGAGAGAGCATGAGTGAGATAGAAAGAGAGAGAGGGCAAACCTGTTGTAGGGCTTGGGCCTGTGCTTGTTGCTGTTGTTGCTGCTGTTGCTGCAATAGGTTGTGATAAGTTGCAGTTACAGGTTAGAACACAAGTTATGGTGAATGCACTATGAACATGACGGACAAAGAAAGAGGACAAAATATACAGTTCCTCAATTCTACCATCAACAATTGCTGTGGTAGACAAAGGAACATCCCTTCACTGCTATTATGTACAATTGTGTAGAACAGCTCAATATGCATGTGACACCTGTTTACATAATAACAGTGAAGGGATGTTCCTTTGTCTACCACAGCAATTGTTGAGGGTAGAATGAGGAACTGTATATTTTGTCCTCTTTCTTTGTCCGTCATGTTCATAGTGATGGGATATTGTTAATCATAAAGCAATGGCACTGGTAATACATGAACATGAGTGGAGTGAATATCATCTGACATCTACATGTTCTTAGGCATGTCTTGGGTAAAAAGTGCCTGGGGCATTACATGATGTAGTTTCTCTGCCTATTTTTCTTTTTAATAATATGAATGACTTTACTTAGTGAATGATATTTACTAAAAAAACACTCACAATGCATTCATGGAGCTGATGTCGAATGTTGTAATACTATTATATTTTCAAAAAAAGATATCATGAATATCTTTATGTGTGGAATTAGTGCAGAGCATTATTAGCAAAAAGTAAACACACTTCAATTTTTTCAAAGTTGCATTAATTACACAGCAAACATGTTAGCTTTCAAATGTTTCACACTGTCTCATACTTAAAGGAAACCAAAACCTTCATACTAAGTTACTTTTATTATAAAGTTTAAGATATTTGAAAAATATCAGTGAAAATTTGAACAAAATCGGGCAAGGAATAAGGAAGTAAGAGCTTTTTGAAATGACTAGTCACTAGAGGGCGGTATTCAATTTGATGACATCATCTGTGGACAACTCTCCATGCCTTTTGTACATCAAATTTCATGTTTTTTGTTCTTTCTTGTGATTGAGATAATGTACTACCCTGAAAGCAAGATATAGAATGCAAAATGATATTCTACTTCACATGTTATGAAGTCGGATCAAGAACACAAATAAATACGAAGAAAACAAAAAAATTGTGAAATTTTATGTACAAAAGGCATGGAGAGTTGTTCACAGATGATGTCATCAAATTGAATACCGCCCTCTAGTGACTAGTCATTTCAAAATGCTCTAACTTTCTTATTCCTCGCCCGATTTTGTTCAAATTTTCACTGATTTTATTCAAATCTTTTAAACTTTACAATAAAAGTAACTTAGTATGAAGGTTTTGGTTTCCTTTAAGCTGATGATGGGAGTCTGATGAATGATGTTATCTATCCTTTATCTTCAATGCAAACTAAGTTAATATATATCACTCAAATTAAATTCATGATCAAAATTAACCTTGAATAGTGACAAAGTAATGATATATTTAGTACATTAGAGAGTTCCTTTGGAACTTTCCATGGATTAAGAATGGCCATGAAGTTGTAAATAGATAAATAATGATTCCTTTATGAAATTGAGAATGAATCATTCAAGTGGTAATGTATGCTACAGTGTTCTGACTTACCTGGTGTAAGAACGCTGCTTGTTGCTGCTGTTGTTGCTGCTGCTGTTGCTGTTGTATATGGGCCTGGTTTGGATTGTACATTCCCATCATCCCTCCTTGATTACCCATCATGCCCTGCGCTGCTGGCATCTGCTGTCCGGCACCCATCATTCCCATGTTGTAGTTGTTTTGTTGCGGGAACCCTGCATTGGTTTGTTGCTGTTGTGGTTGCATCTGTGGCATACCACCAGCTTGATGTGGTATACCACCCTGAGTTGCTGGCATACCACCATTCATCATTTGGTTTGGCTGTTGTGCTGGAATGTACATACCCCCTGTAAGGATATTTGTAAGGATTGTTTTGTAAAACAGTTGTGAAGCTGGCATACAGAGAAAGAACAAAGAGAACCAGCTCACGTATATCATGTGAAAGCTTCTCCAACTAATACAGTCAAACCTGCTTTAGTGACCACCTGTCTACAAAGACCACATTTTTGGTTTCCCTTGAAAATGGCTTTGCAATGAAACATTTACTGAAGGAACCTGTTTTTTGTTCTTCCCTTGGGTGGTCGCTGTAGACAGGTTTGACTGAACCATAATTTTATAGAGATGTTGGTACATTGAACATCTTTACTACAAGATATATATGGACATTGCTTCAGGGTTGGCCTGTAATTACCAGGTGGTGAATACTGCCAAGAAAAAAACAAGAGTAAAAGCACACAAGTACTGCAAAACAGGAGAAAATTACTCTATTATGAGTAACTCTATGAAGCATTATATCATTCCCTCAATATACAGATTTAAAATTTTTTAAATTCAGTTTATGAAGTAAACACATCATGTATGCACTTCTTTACTGTATATCAATAGTGACATTGTTATATTTACCATCTTTACTTGAAAAGATTTACTTAAATGTACCTATACACCTATCAGAGAAAATGGAAGTACTACCACTGTATCAATGAGATTGAGGGTGAATCAACATTAGATCAACAAAAACTGATCAACTTCCACTCTGAATGCAATTAATGCATACAAACTGTCCAAAAATAGACCCTGAACGTTCTTCAACAAGGCCCTGACAAATTGCCTGCCTGTGCAGGATCTTCACGAATGTTAGATGAAATCAGACCCTGGAATCGACTTAACTACAAACAGGGTCAAACACTACTAATACACCAACAAGTACTGATAGCAAACAGACATCCGTTTGCAGCCGATGTAACAAAGGAATTTCACTTTACCTGGAACACCGTAGTTCTGCTGGCTCTGACCCGAAGACCCGTACAGCGCCAGGATTGATTCTTTGGATGTCTTGGACGATGCAGACTTTGAGCTGTCTTCCGAGCCGAAGAGAGACTCCTCGATGGCGGGATCTGCTGCCGCTGCTGGGGGCGCATTGGCATTGTGGGCAGGAGAGATCTGACTGGCAATGGGCTTCTGAGGTGTGTGTAATCCAAGGAGATCACCGTTACCCACCGGTAATGAAGGGGTTTCTGATCAGGTGGAGATGAAAAGGAGGGAAAGCCAGGATATACTTAATAGTCTATAATCAGCATTCAGTAATTGTAAGATATATGTATATGGAGGTTCTTTCACATGGCATATGAAAAGTATTTTTGTATTTTTAAAAGCCTTTTGCTCTATTACTTTTTTATATTTTTGTCGAAAGCTATGCTTTAATATCTATGATGTTATGACTTGTGTTTTGTATTAGGGACATACCTAGTCCAAAGAGATCCAATACATTTGAAGACTGGGTGGGTGGAGCAGCTGCGGTAGTGGCTGGGGGTGCAGAGGCTGTGGGGGCGCTCTGTACAGCTGTGACTGTAGCAGCCTGAGCAGCAAGGGTTTGTGCAGGTGGACCTTGTTGCTTCTTGACAACGGGAGCATTCTGGAGGAACAACAGATTAAAGTAACAGGAAAATTAAACAGGGTTTAAACTGTATAAATCATCAAAATATATACTGCTCTGTTTGTTTGTATACTAATATACATGTAATTGGTATATTCAGAATATTAGCTTCAAGAGATTGAATGCACTGTGAATATACTTTGAAATTATCATAAATAAAGTAAATAAGACTTTTTGTGGGCAAAGTTAGTATTTAAAATCAATGAATATCTACTTTAAAGTTTGGCTGGAATCCATCAATCTAATTAATTTAATTTAATTTAATTTACATATTCCAGGGGTGATAGTGAGCACTAAAAAAAAAATAGGTTTTTTGTTTTCCCCTCCACCACGCCTCCCTTGAGTAAAATAAAAAGAAGAGGTTTCGCGGGGAAAAAATGGCATATAACAACCTTCCCCCCTTTTGAGTAAGAAAATTTGGAAAATTTGGGAAAAAATAGGGCATAATAGGGAAGAATAGAGAAAATAAAGGGGAAATCAGGATAAAATAGGGAAGAAAAAAAAAATCTGGTAAAAAAAAAAAAAAAAAAAAAAAAAATCTTGATTTTTTTTTTTTTTTTTTTTTTTTTTTTTTAAATCGGGAAGAAAAAAAAAATCGGGAAAAAATCGGGGAAAATAAAAAAAATCGGGAAACCGATTTAAATCGGGTTTTTATCAGGCCTGATATTCTCCACTCAGGGGATGGACTGCCCTTATCAGCTATAAGCTTGGTTCTTGAGATAAGCTATTTTTGTATACAAAATGAGCCTGTGACCTTTGACCTTGTGACTCCAAAATCTACTTAGTTCATTGGCTTTGCAAAATACATACATGACCAAGGTTTGGCGGAAATCCATCAATAAGTTCTTGCGATAATGCGATCATGAGAACAGACAGACAGACGGACGGACAAACCCAAAACATAATGGCTACTTCATTGTGGAGGCATGAAAATGTGTACAAGTTTTTAAATTTGTTACACTTTCAGTACATTTGCTGAGGAGAAATGTGTCCCTTACAATCACTGCATATGCTTGTAATGCCTTCTTGAATGACCTATATATTCCTAGTCTTTATTTGAATTCCTTCCTCAGGAAAAGGGAAGGAAGCTGAACGTACAGGAAAATAGACTTGCAGTCTTCCATGTATTGCCTGAAATCTTTCGCTGTAAATGCCGTCTTGAAAAAGAGACTTTGTAATCAAGGATTGAGTTCCCTATACAGTGTACATATACCAGAACAAGCAAGTCAGGCATGTGGTGCCAGGTACACTGGGTGGGAGTCTGAGGGCAGTCAAAGGGGTGGGGGTAGTCGAAGGGGTAAGGGTAACTGTCCAGATACAAAACTTAGATATTCTCAAATGGTGGTGTTATTCTCCTCTGGAAGTAAATGGGCACGGTTTTTTGGGAGAGAGGGTTGGGGTAATCTAGGGGGTATGTGTATTTGTCCAGATACAAACTTACATCTGATGGTCTTGGAAGGGCGATGTTATTCTTCTCCTGTTTCTTAGCTCTCCTCTTCTCCTTGTCTGCATCTTGAGTTTCTCTGTTATCTACTTTCTTAACCTAGAACAGATTTAACAATATAACAAATAGGCCACATGGTATTATAAAGGGTTGTTAAAATGAAAGAAGTGATAATGCATAAGAATATATCTTGGAATGAATTATCTATTGATTTTAGCATTAAAAATGCAGCATTAGCCATTTGGTCACTTTAAATGGTAAGTCCAAGGTATTTGGTCACTTTAAATGGTAAGTCCAAGGTATTTGGTCATTCTGCGTTAGCTGCCAATGATCATAGAATGGAATTTGATTAACATCGAAAGTACTTCCATTTGCTTTTTGGCTAATCAAAACTAACAGGAGCAGAAACCATGTTTACAGGAGCTGAAATGGCTGCAGTAAAACTTGCTGCTTGTAGCTTTCAACCAGTTATTAAATGAAATCTTAAAATTTGTCAGCTTGACAAGTTCCAAATTATAAAATAAGTTCATGTCAATGACATACTTCCAGCCTGCTCATCGCATTAAACTGATGTACTGTACATGTTGGAATAGCTCAAGAGGCATTGGGGATATCTTAATATCTGCAAACGGGAAGTTAAGATTTGATGAAGAATGCATCAGGCTTGGAGCAAGTTTGCAACAAAACAACAAATATTAACATTGACAAATCAATTTGCTGATAGCAGGAGAGCCGTTAACTCAACGTACAGTGTAAACCTTTCAACAGACCCTCCACAGACTATACTCACCCTGGATGCTTTTGGTTGTTGCATGGTTTTGTCGATATACTTCTTGTGCTCATACTTGCTCCTGATAAATTGTTCTAATGGACTGGTGATAGATGATGATCGTGGTCAAGGGAAGCATGGTTTGTCAATACTATTACACATGAAATACATCACTGAGGATGTTAGAATTGGGCTTGCTTTTTAGTCTCTTTTTTTGTCAGGCAATGTTGCCTTTTTCTGATGAAAGAGTACACTTACATGAACATATTCTTTGTCTGCTCCATAAATTTCTAATGTCATAAATTCATTTGAGCAGCAGCAAACCTATTTGGGACTCTCTTTAAATGGACTGCTATATAATGTATGACAAGCCATCAACAATGATCCGTTTTTCATTTGTTGATACCTGAAAGTGGCTATTACTCGCTATTGGCCCACATATACAAAATAAAAGTCTACCTTTACAACAGTCCAAAACTCGCAACAATAACCGGATCACTGTTTTCAAGAAAAAAGTGCTACGGATGGATAAATACTCATTCTGAAATGTGTGCTGGGCTAGTTAAGTGCTAATGACTGGTTAGGAGTCAGGAGATATATCTCAAGATATGCCAATCAATTAAAAATCTTGTATACACCAAGAATGGGAATTACATGCCATAACCTTTAATATACAGATTTCAAAGAAATATAATGCCATTTCCGCAAAACATTTGCACACAGAACTTGTGCGCACTCTATAAAGAATCAGGGATTTGCCACTACTGCAAAATAATATTCATTGATGCCATAATTTTATGAATAAACAAAGAATTCAAAGCAATTATTGAGAAAGGATACGAGTCCGTCTGTGGCCGTCTGAAGTTTGGAGGGAGATTACATTCATAATATTTCCTTGCTTGTGTGTTTCCAATGCTCTCCATATGCTGGAAATAAAAAACAAGTAAATAAACAGATGAGATTAAAAGTGAAACAATGAGAAACATGATTTGGTTTCAAAAGCCATATAAGTCTCATTCCCATAGTGTATGCTGTGGTAAGCGCCAAGTCCAAAATATAATTACATGCGTATTCCCTTTACAGTTCTCTATCTTATACTAATGCAGACATACGCATAGGACCTTGATTCTTTTGTTGTGCCCAGCTAGCTACAGGTACATAGTTTTCCGACCCCTGCCATCACTCGTCATGTGTAGAATAATTTGTAAAGTTTGCTGCAGTGGTTTACCACATCAGGGCTCCACATTAACTAGTTTTTGGAAGGGGTCTTGATAGAATTCTGTAGAGTATGTATTAAGCATGAGCCCTAGATGTAGACATTTAGAAATTTAGGGGAGTAATCAGATTGAGTCCTCCCCCCCCCCCCACACCCCCCCCCCCCCCCCCCCCCTCTCAACTCTAATGGATATAGCCACTGAACTATTTTACCAGTATTTGCTCCTCTGTCCAAGAATCCAGATTGACTGATTTGACTTTTGTTATGTGCACACCGAGGTTCCGATGGATTCCAGCGCATCGTATGCAGAGGAAGAGACCCAGGTTCCAAGAAGCCCATCTCGGTCCTGAAAATATATCGAGAAGTGAAAATGGTTGAAATCACGTTTTTACTAAAGAAAATTACGATACAGAAATAAAAGTAAAATCAAAAAGTAAAAAATCCGACAGATAAGTACTAGTTACATCAGGGGAAAAAATACACGGGGGCTCGGGGCAAATTAGCCCCCGAATGTCATTAAAGAGCCCTCCAAAATTGCATAGAGTTCAATGCAAAACAAAATAAAGAGTGTTATGTTCATGCAAGCAAGCTTGAAAGTAGCCCCCCCCCCCCCCCCCCCCCGAGTTAATGTACATAAACAATGGAGAAATTTTCAATAAGTATACCAATTTTAAGGAAAACCAATTACATGTACTACATTGCTGACAAGGAAGAATAAAACAGCATTATTTCTCAATACACGTACTGGCAATATTGTTTTAATAAGCAAACAGGCAACAAAAAATCAAGTACCTAAAAACAATAAGCAAGGGCAAAAACTACCGGTACCAGTACATTGGAGATTTGCCAGTATTATTTGCCAGTATGTAAAAAAAAAAAAAAAGAACATTAATTTTGAGCCTTACTATGTTGCAAATTTAAGGATTTTAATCTAACAATGTACAGAGAACAACATGTCCTGTACATGTACATGACTATGAGCAGCAAATCCAGCAATGCCATCTTTCAACATTTTTTATATACCTCACTTAAGAAATCCAGCCATCTGATTGGTCGAATTGCATTCATAAACTTCAACTGTTCCTGTAAAATTCTCGGTAACCATGCATAAAACATTTCACTATTTTTAATAACCATGGTTATTAAAAATAGTTGGTCAGCGTCCATGGTTACCCCATAGGTTTACATGTTAAAAAATGGTTTGAGCGATGGAGGACCGTATGTGTGCGAAGAATCGGTCGGTAATTTCAATACAATTGAATCTCGATCGATCTTACCGACAATTTTATCTTGCATTGTTGACATGAAGACGAAAATAAACTTCCAAAAACAAAAAAACAACATCTGCCGATAGATCTTGATATAATTTCGTGCCAATATGCATTGCAAAAGTAAAAGAAGGGTCCGTTTAATGAAGCTTTTGCGAAGCATTCATCACGCAGAGCCGGTTTCAATCCATTTTAATGTATATATTGTACAAAACTGCCAAGCATTGTAACATAACGCGATGGCCGAGTGGTATGAGGCGCTGGTTATAGATGCATCACTTATTGGTACGCAAGAGTTCGAGTCCCGTCGTCGAAAAAAATAAAAAAAAATTATTTTTTATTTTTTAGTCTTTTTTTTTTGGCATATAAAAGTATTAATGACTGCTTTAATATTCGAGAAATAGTTGTTTTCATACGCTCTCGGGAAGGTTACAATTGGGCTATTCCCCTCGGCAAGCCTCGGGGAATAGCACAATTCTAACCTTCCCTTGAGCGTAATAAAACAACTATTTCTCTCAAAGCAGTCATTAATACTATAATATTTTTATGGACAATGCCATTTGATGACACACAGCAATAATCTGTTTCATGAAAATCTAATAAAAATGTCTGCCAAGCTTTATTACTTATTTTCAGTCTGACAATGATTGAAACAATGGGAGAATACACTGTAGGTAATGAACTCGGGTGTTCTAACATTGAGAAATATGCGTATGAAGAAACAGACAGATATTAAGGTATTGGAGAGGGATCGACAGAGACGGAGAGAGAGAGAGAAAGAGAGAGAGAAAGAGAGAGATAGAGAGAAGATTTAAAAATAAAGGAGGAAAACACTGTCTTCTAGTACAGCCATACATGTACTTTTGTGTACACGTACAGTACATGTACATATGTATGTACATGCAATGTACACATTACACCATGAAAAAAAGATGAAATGTAATTCTGAATGAAGACTCCTAGATGTCGACACGTCTGAGCATTCAGGAGGTGGAATCTTAATTTGAAAAAAGGCAAATTTACATTGCAGAAAAACTGAAAAAACAATTTGAAAGAAAAAAAACATTGTTTCTTTTTTTAACCATGGAGACTATTGAAAAAAAAACTTAGAAAACGTCTGTGAATTGTAATTTTAAGTTTTTGTGTGCATGCGTCACTAATTGCTGCTACACTGTATGCGAATGTGTGCGGATAGAGTTTCAGCAAGGCGTTTAAAAAAAAATAGTCCAGAGGTTGGGATTTTTAATTCATTTTTGTTCTTTACATACACTGTACATGTACTGTATGGGTAGCTATAGGTACAATGTAGTTGCCTAGCAACTTACGACAAAACTCTGGAATGGGAGAAAAATTACATTTTTTTGCTGGCAGTGTATGTAAAAACCCCTAGCCTTTACTCTTTAAAAAATCAAATGATTTGTTCCATACAGACTTACTAGCTACATCTAGCAACCTTATCGCATTATATTAGCCCATATCAATACTTTGTACAATACATGTGTACAGTATGTACTTATGTAGTGTATTAAACTCAACCTTGCACAGACCAGGGTGAATACAGCTGCATAATACAATACATAATATGCATGTACACGTAATGCTCACTAGATCGCAGTGATAGTCTGTTTTGACTAGTAACAAGCCTTGAGGGAGACACTACATTCTCAACCTCGTCGACAATGAATCAATGGCTTTGTACATGTATATATCTACAGACAAATAATCCCATCAAATTTAACACAGGGACAAAACAATTACTTACATGTAAAAGCAAAACAGACTGTCGTTTTTTAAATATTAAAATCTGTACATGTACTACACAAATCATTCTAAAATTATTTAAATCCTGATTGCACTAATGGCACTACATGTACAGTAGATGAGGTTCACTCAAACATGGGTCTTGTGAAAAAATGGACCTCTAATATTTTGGCACAGGATACAAAATGAATTTGAAAATTCAAAAAATAACTAAATAAAACAATTTAGACAAAATTTCTTTTCTTATTCACACCAGTTGTTCCCAAAAATTCAAAGCATATATTTCCTACATAATTTGTTTTGCCATGAATGTACTATTTGTATTTTGTACTATTTATGACTGCAAGAATGTCAACACGGAGTTGAGCTATGGCAAGGAAAATCCTGAAAAAAGACCCTAAAATGCATCATACAGTTAAGTTGGTATAAAGTGGAACCGATGTACATGTTAGCCTACAGCCTGTAGGCCTAATTTTTGAGTATTAAATGCATCAGATATGAATACGCTAATAAAAGTGACATTTTATGATTTCAGTCCAAAGTTTGGTGGCACTAACATGCCACCAAACCTCGCACAGGAGACCCTATGGCCAGCTTCTGTCTCTGAAGAGAGGAGCCGACCCTACCCCAATAATTAATAAGAGGATGACAAATGAAAGAGACAGAAATTTTCGGTCTTGAATACCTTGAATACCAAAGCTTCTGGAAGAAAGCCGTCTCCAGCTGCCAAGCTTCCAGGTCTTCTACACATGTACTTTGTGTGTCATCAAAAAATTTAGGCAATATTGCATCAAGTAACTGGGGACAAACTTGTGACACATGTACAGTACAGTCCATGTCCTGTACATGTACACATGTACAGTACCTTAATTTCCAGCAATCTTTCTTAAAGGATCAACGTTTGGGAGGTTTTCAAAAGAAATCTATCGTCCACAATGCGAAACAGTGCAAAGCTTCACAACTAACATTTCTACATGGGGGATATTTCTCTCCACCACACATATTCCAACTGATGCAAAAACAAAAAAAAATTTAAGGGGGAAAAGAAAAAGAGAGAGAAACCTATTTTTTGTTTCATTTTTTTTTTTTACTGTTATCCACATTAATATTTATACCGGTATTTAAATTAAAAAAAAGAAAAAAAAAGGGGAAAGATTTTGTCTTTAATAACCGTTAAAGCATGATGTAATTAATCAATATAATATTCTTTCATTCAGCTTAATCAATGCATGCCTACATGTACATAAATGTGAACCCTAGTTTGCTTTAATTAGTGAAGGACTCTACCACTAGTACCAGTAATAAATAGGTGTACTACATGTACATGTATGAGCAGTAGGGGCGCTAGTCCGAGAATAAGGATCGTCCACATTTAACAAGGATCATCTTTGTATAAACACGGACATACAAGTCTTAAAAATAAGGATCGTCTGCATTTTTACAGACGAATCTTAGTTCCGACCCGCGCGTTGGCGATGCAAAAAAGGGATTCCGCGATGATGCGCTCCTTGATGCATTTCACATTCACTTTGGACAGAGACTTTCACGTTAGAACGATAAATCCTCGGGAAGACGGACAACCCATAAAATTAGACAGTGAACTGGGGACATTACACGGAATCCGTTGTTTGCATTGCCAGCGTGCAGATCACCTTTTTAAGACGAGATTTGGAGACAGGCGATCCTCATTCTCAGACCAGCGCCCCTACTGACTAGATATGATTATAAATTGACATGTTTTTTTTCAGAGTAAAAATTGTCTGTGGATCAGAGTCTCTGAGGACTTGGAGTTGGATCAAGATAAATGCCAAAACTTAAAACACCATAATCCATCCTGATGTCTTGATGAATATGAATGACACATGCATTGGGAATGTACCGGTATCCTGTAAAGAAAGGAACCGGCATTCAAAACCCATTCAAACACCATGCCACAAAATGCAAACACACACTGCACTGATTCACATTGATAATGACATGCAACCATCCATTCCCGATTCCATACCTTTTGCTTCACAGTCAACGCAGTATTTATTGTCTTCCTCCCGTAACAATCTTGACAACACTGCCTGGTATTTCTCCTGATGTTTCTGTTTCTTATCTTTCTCACTTTGCGATCTCGACATTTTGATTCTGATGTTTTTTCTAATTCCTTCCAAATCAAAAGAAGCCGGTATTTCTTCGACTCACACGGAACTATTCAATGCAATTATCTCATTGAGATTGTGTACACCCACTTGTACACCGGAAGTGCTATGTGTCAATATGTGAAAGGTTACCGTAGTATGTGGGCGGCCACCGCGGATCGGAATATGCAAGAGTCCTATGTCTGCTCTGGCGTAGCCCCCAGTTTGGAGGGGACAGGGAGGGGGGTATTTTATGGGATGGGTGGGAGAGAAAGAGAGGGGGATTATCAGTAAGAGATTGCACATGAAGGTGGCATAATTATAGTACCAGCTTGTATACTTGCAAAGAAGACGGGGGGGGGGGCTCTTTTTAAATCGAGGGGAGGGGGCAATGCGCTCTATGTACTTTTTCAATCAATATAATCAGAAAAGCGCATACTTCACCAAATATGTGCAAATTTGCATATATGTCACGACTCGGCCTCTAATAATATCTTCCTTCATTGTCATTTTATTAATACTTACAATACGTTATCAGTATAGGCCTACCTTCCTACAGCGCTAGAAACAGCCATATTACTTTTTCTGAAAATAAGAGCCTGTTTTTATTGCAATCCTCCTCTTTCTCTCTCTCTCTCTCTCTGTCCCTATCTGTCTACCCTTTCCCTCATTCCTCTCCCTCTACCCCTTTCACTCTGAACCCCCCCCCCCCTCTTCTCTCTCTCTCTCTCTCTCTCTCTTCCTCTCTCTCTCTCTCTCTCAACCTTTTCTGCCGATTGGTAGCCATTTCAACTTGCAGGATATCTTCCTGTCAAGGCAGAGAAACATTGTACACAAAGCACTTCACTTTCAAACACATTACACCTGACAGAAAATCAGCACAATAAGTAACATTTCTAATGCATGCAGTGTGTTCACCTTTATTCATATATCACTCCAAGTACAACATTTTCTGTTGTGGCCCAGAGCTAGAACGTTTGAATATTTACAATATAGTACAATAAAAGCATTTTTATATTACAATCAACGGAAAGGATCAAATGTTACATATTTAACATTGACAGAATAGAGAAAAATTTAGATATATGATTCACTATACATGTACATTAAGTAATTAACCAATGCCAACTGTGGTCTTTCGCTAAATTCTAGTTTGACACAATATACATCATACCCATAGCCTATAATTTTCACATGTTCGGTAAACAAACCATTTGAGGACTATATGTCATAAAAGCAATGACAGTTCATTCTAAGAAAATAAATATAAGAATAATTTATCTATCATTTTAAAGATAAGGGCATACAAATTGGCAATGTTGTTACCATTATTTAACAAATAAATTGGCAGGCATGATTCCTCTGTTCTGTTCTAATTTACAATGTAATTCACTCTCTCTTCCAAAGTAATGCAGGTAAAATACCTAGTCAAGTTATTATAGTCCATGTTGCATTCACGTACATGAACAACATTATGAGGGACTTAATAAGCAGGCTATGCACAAGTGGTTATTGAAGTTTACCGTAATAATTCCTTAGATAGATTAAAGTTACTAAAATGAGTCAGAAATTATTTCAAATAATGTGTATACCAAGCCATTTTAGCATTCTTTATCAGGTGTTTGTAAATGCTTATTATACATTATTTAAATACAATTGGAAAGCTTGAAACGTATCACACCATAGATCAGTGGATCAAATCTAAATTAGACCAGATTAATTTGGTGAATTCACCATTAGACTGTTGTTCACATGGTTCACAGTCCAAGTCCCAGCCATGCAGGCGCTAAAGTTCTTTGGCAAGATATTAATCTATATTAGCCACACAGGTGTACATGCAGTGATGGGTACCTTGTAGGAAGTTGTCCCTTGAATGTTGTCAGTGCCTTAGGGCACCAGGGCTAAAGCCTCCATAATTATAGTACTTTGTAAATGCCTTGAACAACATCTGATGGATATTTGTGCTATATAAATGTGCAATTTATCTTTTACTATAATCCTTCTTCTTCTTCTTATCAAAAGGACTGCTTGAAAAGTAAAATATAAATAGAGTGTGCATTTATAAGATCAGTCTCTACAGTGTCTATTGCCATACAAAAATTACCCAAGTAGTTTATGGAAGTGACTTTTCAAACTACACAACCAATATTGCACTCATAAAATTCTATTGTAATTAGATTAATGCAGCATGGTCATACTAACTATAATGGTATTTGTTTTGGGTCTGAACATCAAGACTAGATAAGATGCACACATGGTTGTGGACTAGCAGCCACCTGAAGTAAAATCCCAATATCGAGATGTTGTCATTTGTTATTTCGGCCTCCATAAGATCAACACACTAGCCTATCAGTGAAGCGTTATTTTTTTGTTAGCACTGTTATCTCTTGAACAATTTTCATCAAGAATGTTATTAGCTGGAATGTAAAATCTAAATATTTATTTAAATTTGTTCTGATGCAGAATGTGATAAGTTTTGTTACAGGTCCTTTTAATCGTTAGATTATATATTATAGATTATCAATATCATATCATATATTTCATACCAAAAATATACAACTGGAAGAAAAATTTTATATATTTTTAAAGCTCAAGTCCACTCCAAAAATAACTTACTTTCAATAGAACCAGAACAATCAGACAAACCAATCAAAACAAGTTTGAGCAAAATCGGAAAACTAATATAAAGAAAGTTATGAATTTTTAATGACATGAAAAACTTTGAAAATCACTACACAAATTGGCAACTCACTCATGAGTCTGTGACGTATGGTCCTCACTATTCACTAATTATTTTCTTTATATTGATAATATAAATTTCCTATTTTCACCCTAAGAATCTTATTTCTTCACACCAGCATCTAAGTTAGATTGTTAGTAATACTAATATGTTTTTGTGTGGATGCACAAATAAAGAGTAATTTTTGTCCAGTTAAATCATGAGAAATTGAATTTTGATATACTTTTTATATAAAAATCAATAATTATGAATATACAATATTCAGAAAATAGTAACAATTTTTCAAAATTCATAGGTTTTGGGGAAATGTCATGCACGTTATGATACAAATCATATAACCTGGGCAAAGGCATGGGGAAATCTAGTTTTGGGGGATAAAAAGGGAAATTAATGGGATTAAACTATATAAAGCAATTGATAAGTTGTGAGGACATGACGTCACAAACTGAAAACCATCTTTGCAATTTGTGTTGTGATTCTCATTGTTCCATAGTTTTACATACTTTTTCAAAAATTCACATCTTTCTTATTAGTTATTGGATTTTGCTAAAACTTTTTTTGATTGGTTTGTCTGATTTTTCTGCTTTTATTGAAAGTAAGTTATTTTTCGAGTGGACTTGTCCTTTAAGGAAAGCACAATTAAGTTAGACCATTCTTTGTTGTTGTTGTTTTCACTCCACTGTACATCTTTGCAACAGAGTTCACTATGTCAATTTTTTTCTCCAAATAGACAATTCGTTCCTGTTTTCACGAAGTGACGGTAGTGAGGAAAATCCGCACGCAAAAATTGAATGCGATTTTCATTCACTACCGTCACTTCGTGAAAATAGGGACGAATTGTACAATTATTTCTCAAGCAATCTAAAATAGAACAGTTTAGAACCAAAGAATTCTGGAGTACTCTTGTGTTCATGATTTCCTTCATGCACACAACAATATAATTGATGCCAACTTGAACCAATAGTGATTCATTCAGACCTTTGGCAGTACCGTTCATCTTTGGGTTAAGGGCGTCTGCTCTCCTATTCTTGTAACTCAGATATTTCTGTTTGGCTCTCTTGTGGAGTCTCTTGAGGAGTCTCTTTCTTCTTCTGTAACCAGTTGAGTGCCCATTCATACTAAGAAAAAAGAAAAGAACACAAAGGATGAATTCAGTTTTAAAAATACATGTAATATACTGTATGTATACTGTACCTCCCCCTCCCCCTCCCCTCCCCTCCTCCTCCCCCTCCCCCTCCTCCTCCTCCCCCCCCCCTCCTCCTCCTCCTCCTCCTCCTCCTCCTCCTCCTCCCCCTCCCCCTCCCCCTACTCCTCCTCTTTCATCTTAACTTCTTTGACAACTCGATGTGGAATCAAATCAAATCAGAAACCTTCAAATAACTCACCGTTACAAACCAGAAGGAGTTTGGCCTATTCATGATTTTTCCAAGCAGGTTCATTTCACTTGTTGGGTAGACCACATGAAGATGCAGATGATCTATTGTATTGAATGGTGGCCAATGGAATCCCACCCTATTCAACAACCACAACAACACAAAATGAATAAGAATCATAAACAACACTTCACATGCCTGCAGACACAGATTAACAATGAAAAAAATGACATAAAGCCTTGAGATAAGCCTAACCTTGGCAGTCTCTGGCTGTGTACACCTCTTCAAGTAGAAAGCAACCCAGAGTCTTTCAGTTCATGTTGAGTACATTGTGACTTTCCATAGTGTCATAATGCATTCTTATGATACTCTATGTAAATCAGTTGAAATATTTCTGTTCAAATTTGTGGGGGACATTTCCATAAAAAGATTGTGCTATTTCATTTTCCTATTAAAGATAAAGGTTGTTACACTCTTTGTAAAATAAGATATTGCGGAAACCAATAAACTAACTATCTAGCCCAGTCTTGGAAAAGTAATAAGCACTGTACACAGACAGATGTACATGTATATGGGGACTACACAAATGGTGTCAGGGCTACTAACCTTGATTTCCTAATCTTTCTATGCTCATTACTCAGCCAGTATACATTTTCTACCAAAATTGTTCAGCAAATGACATTTATTTGTAATCGTGAACATTCCATGTAAGTTTTGTTTGATTCTGTGAGCATTCATTTTTTTTTTTTTTTTTTTACAGAACTCACCTTTACCTTAACTTGATGTTCAAAAGACTTTATTTGTTTTTTAGTACTATACCACTTGACACATTATTAATTTTTCTGTTAAGTACATGTACATCATTTTGAACCTCATATAATTAATGGTATCTTATTCAAAGCTTTAACTTTTCAGAATTTGTCAGGCATATGGTGGCAAGTTTGGCTATGTTCACTAGTTAAGTTGATCAATTGATTTGGAGCAAGCTCGTGTCAGCTCAATAATTACCTTGCATCTGCTATGTTTCCCCCTCGTGCCTCCAGGACTGCCTCTCCAACTTGATATAAGTATTGCACTGTGGGATGGGAAACAACAACAAGAAGTTTCATTTTGTTTTGTTTTTTGAAGACCCCTCAGGCTTCTCATCAAACATGTGTTTACCCCTTGGTCCAAACTAAGTGAAAATACTATTATGTACACCTGTAGTATAATGTTCACTGCATTATGTAATCAAATGTTCATTTTCACTGGTGTGTGAATCAATTGTCAAATGTATCAATGTACCCTTGAAGTGACTAACAACAATAACAAAAAGACCATTTCAAAACAAAAAAAAGTGAAAATACTCTTGCGGCATCAAATGGGAGAATGGAAGGGGACGGGGGAGACATTTTAAGAGAATTATACATGTAGTAATAATGTAGGTTGAAAGTATGTATTAAACCATTTATTACTCTTGTTCGGAGGGGGAGGGGGGGGGGGGGTGGCTAATTTCCCCTTGGTACATATTTGTGAAGTACCTCCTCTACTTGTCACTTGCACCATGGTGTCATGCAATAGGTAGAACCTTGATCTAGCCAGTCTAGAATGATCATCACAAAAACACCCTTAAAAATGCAATCACTCATGAAAATATTTGTTCAATCATGTTTAAAAAACGGTTAAATGCATTGTGCATCTTGACAAGATACAATGATTCTTTGAACATTTGAAGAAAAAAAGCACAAATATATCGGTAAGCATACTAATAGAAATTCAGTAAACTGCAACCTTTATACTTCCATCTTTTTGCCAGAATCCAATGAACAATAGTACAATTCCAACTTCAAAATGAAAGAATCCCCCAATTGATGATATATATTTGAAAAGTGAATGACTTCATCTACATATGGATGATCATGATTAGTTGACTTTTTGGATACATCACTATGAAAGTAGAGAGAATCGTAACATTGTTGGAAAATAAGTCGAGCCTTTAATAATTCTTGATACAGGTAAAACAATTGTCATGATTTTAACAGCTCTAGCAGAGAACACAAAATAAGATAACTACATAAATGACTTAGAAAATGGAGTAACTGTCTTCAAATAAATGTAAGGCTTATCAATTTTTGTAATTAATTATATAAAATAATGAACAATAACGAATCATTCTCATATCTTAAAAGTATTTGATTTAATGTGTAATAAAAACAAAGACAAAGATTTCATAATATCAACTCCTCTTTTCATAGTTCATCTGTAAGGGAACACTGTTCAATGAAATCTACCCTCACTGCCTTCACAATCCATGTTTGAAATTCAATAATATCTGCAACATTGTACAAAAATAAAAGATTCACAGAGCTCTTACCAAGAGGAATTTGGCATTTATCAAGAGATTTGACATTGCCGTGATGCGACTTTGGGATGATGAGAAGATGCTCTTTGGTAGATGGTCTGATGTCATGAAACACACAAGCAGCTTCATTCTAGGGGGGGAATAAAACATGAAGTTAAAGAATGGCAAAAACAGTGTTATTTTGAGAGAATAATTAAGGGAAAATATAGTAGTAGAGAAAGTGCATACTATCATGTACTTACAATGTATCTTCTTCTATTAAGTATTATTTTTAATAACACAGTTTTATTGGACAATGAAAAACATAGAGATGGACAGAGTCGACAGACTAAAACTTATGACATCATAGTTTTCATGTTATTGTTACATGTACATTGTACATCTCCGAGTCAGACAATGTTGCTTTCAAAAATCTGTTTTTTTAGTATATAATATAAAAATTAAAATGTTTACAAAATTTTCCCCAATTTATTTCAGTCATGATCATGGTCATACTCATACTCATAGTCTAGACCTACATTATGTCGGTGTTGGCGTTGGATAGCCTTAAGGGCTCTCTCGAAATGTTTTTTTAATGATATTGTAGTAGTTTTTGATATAGACTACAAGCACGAAGCAGACTGCATTAGCAGACTACGAGTGTAGCAGAGCATAGCAGTCTACAATAGCCACCCTCACCACTAGAGGGCGCTATTCCTATTGGAAGCTTCCCTGGAATAGAGTCAACCTGAACTCTCTCTCTCATGCAACCGACACCTCAACCGAACAGACGTACCTTTACTGGAAGTTAAGGATGTCAAGCCTGATTGCCTGATACATTTCCAGTGAGTATTTCATGTCTGGTTATGGTGTCTATAAAGTAGCTCCCAAGTCTACTTCATTGGCGTCACGGACTTTTAGGACCTCGAAATGCACCGTTTTGGGGTAACTTGTTGTGTTGTTTTGTCAATTTATTTTGTCAAAACGGGGCGTGGACCTAAATTTGCCGAGTTGCGCTTTGGAGCTGTGCGGGGTTATGCTCGCTAGTTTCCTAGTGGAAACAAATTTTCCGGTTGGGGGTGGTGGGCGTTGCCTGCCCGTAGTTCCGGCCGACCATTTGTTTTAAAGTGGTGAATTTTAAACTTTCTGTGCCTTTACGGGAGCGAGCGCCGTGAAGGGCTGACAGGTTCGGTGGGGGCTGGGTAGGCCCATGGCCGGATGGCTGCAGTGAAATACGGTGTTTTATATCCCGGGAGTGGATGTGTTATGTTATTTGTGGCTAGTGTGGTGAATGTCCTGTTTTATGTATTTTTAATGTTGGGTGTGATGGAATGATGGTATATCATTATCAGCCTGTTGGCTTAAACAGGATGAGATGGTCAGCCATGTTGAATGTTTATGGAAGCATTGTTATTGAATGGCGTGAATTAATGTGATCTGTAGAACAATGGATGATGGAATGTGGGAAACATTCCAGGAATAACCGAGGGGGGATGGTTGTATATATATCCCCAGGCTGGGTTATGTTTTTCCATTCATATCCCCCCGAGCGTGAATCTTGAGGAGAATGGAATTCAAGGTTCGCACACGTTCGCTGGAGGGGATAGACCAATCAGGGCGGCGGAATTTCGCCCACCCAGATCCTCCGGAGTACGTCCCCATTCGCTCACGTGTTGAGAAGTTTCAATTTCTGAACACGTGCGAGAGTTTGAGATTTCTCGGAAACAGCGGAGGATAGCTGGGTGCGTGAGCGTTGCGATCTATTTTTTGACTCGACTGTTAACAACAAACAAAAGTCTTGCTCCTGCAAAATCGTAAACTCCTTCAACTTACAAGTACTTTTGGAGTTGTGAGAGGTGGGATTCTCGTGGATTGTAAGGTAGGAAATCCGTTGCTTTTGCCTTTTAATCATTGCTTTTTCTCCTCTATCCCGATTTTGTCGGGCTTTTCCTTCGTTTGTTTTTTGATACGTGGACTGGCTGTATACGTGTGTGAGTGCTCGTGTTACCAGCAGTTCCGTCTAGGCCCACCTACCCGCTTGGTGGTAGGGGCCAGGAGCTGTGTTTTAGCCAATTATTAAATAATTAAAAATAAAGGGGGAATAGGAGACAAATAAAGCTAGTGATTATTTGTGGAACATAAGCTTTTTGGATTTGTTTAATTTGTTTTCAGAGGCGTAAAGCTTATTGAGAATAAATATAGATTGAGTGGATATCGTGGGGGTTCTGCTAGCTAGCTTCTGCTAGCTAGCTGCTCCCAGTCCTGCTCTTGTGAAGGGGATTCTAGTCTCCTTCGCAGGATTGGTTAAGTTGATTCTATTAATTATTATATAAAATAACTTAATCAAATTGTAGGGTGTAAACAATTTCCAATTATTAAATAGTTCTTAGCAATCCTTACTCCTTAGGTTAGTTTAGGGCAAATATTTCAGATTTGTTGGTTTGTTTAGTTGGTGGAGGGAGTTGTATTTATAATTCCCTTCGCGAATTGAATAGAACCTAGAGGCTAGACTCTAGACCTCTACTAACTAGGTTAGGTTACTTGTATTTTATTAGATAACTTGCTTTGGTTGGAATCTGTATTGTGATGTTGTTCTGGTGAATCTATAGCTGGAATTGCTTTCGATTGTTTGTTTATCTTGGTTGACTGTTCGGTTTTAACTCTGTTGTAGGGGTGTTTTCCGGGAAACAGAAGATACCAGATAAACAGATAGCACTTTTGTGACCGTGGGTGAGGACTTGGCTCTGGGAGTTTTATCCCAGGGTAGTCGTGAGTCTTGGCGGTGCGGAGGTGGGGCAGTTGTAGTGTTGGAGGATTAGGGCATCTATTGCATTATACAGATACAATTATAGTATTTGTTATTTCTCATATTTAGGAACGGTTTTAGAATATAAGAATAATTATAGACTTAGAGTTTAATACTAGTATTAGGGATTAAATTTAGTAGGACATTGGGTTTATTACAGTCAGTGCCGGGGTGGGTATATCTTACCCCGTCTCTGGTGTATTGCATTGGTTAGGGCGCTTGTGAATATCCTAATGTGTTCTATCCAATTATTTACCTGTGGTTGTATGGGTATTAATAATTGTTGGGTAGTCTAATTAATCTTCTGGGATATATTTTATTGGTGCTAAAATATCCTAGTGTATTCTATCCAATTATTTACCTGTGCTTGTATGGGTATTAATAATTGTTGGGTAGTTTAATTACTATTTTGGGATTTATTCTATTGGTGGTTATATATCCTGGTATATTGTTCTGTTCAATAACTTCAATTATTCACCTGCGGTTGTAGGGTGTTTATAATTGCTGAATAGATCAATTAATGTTCTGGGATTTATTTTATTGTTGTAGGTTTTGTCCTATTGTTGAAGGATTTAACCTAGCACTGTGGGGATATGGAGAAGGTCCCTATTAATAGTTGTACGTTTGAGGAGTTGCTGGCCATGCCCGGGGTAAGTCCTGTTCGAGCGGGGCGTATTTTAGAACTCCGGGAAAAGCATGGGGGGATTACTCCTGAGCTGTTGGAGTCCTCTGCTATGTTTGCGGATGTAGGCAATCTGCAAGGCTGGTTTGACTTCCGATCGCGTTTGGATTATGGGGGAGAGTCCCCCAGGATGCCATCTAGGGCAATATTCCAAACGGGCGATTTTTGGAGTAGCACGCTCCGGGGGAGAGGATCCGGAGAATCCGGAGGAAGAAGTCTTGGGGCACAGGTTTATCCCCATGACAGTTATCCTCCCCCGGTGAGAGAGTCGGGCGGGTTTTCCCGCGCGAATTCGTGGAGATATGAAGGTGGGGAAGATACTTCCCTACCAGGGCCGGCCCGGACTTTTCCAACCCTGCCCCCGGAAATGGGCGATGCATTCCCCCGACCGTCTTTGTCTAGAGGGGAGGGAGATTGGGGACGCAACCAAGGGAGGGCTTCTTATCAGCCACTCCCCAAATCGATCGGATTCGACGGGCGTGGGAATTGGCGCGCGTTCTTCCGAAAATTCTCCGCATTTGCGGATGCCTGCGAGTGGGATTATCCACAACGCCTAAACCAGTTGTGCTGGTGTCTGGACGGTCAGGCAAGCGAGTTTTTCGATAGGATTCAGGAGCGGGACCCCGATATGGGTTATTTCGGGGTAGTACGCCAGCTGGAGGGCCGGTTTGGATACCGGGAGCCTCCGGAGGCAACCCTGCTTGAATTTAACACTGCTAAGCAGGGTCTTACGGAATCCTTGCCTGAATGGGCAGACAAATTGCATCGGCTTGCATCCCGGGCATTTCCCGGGGTCCCAGATACTTACGTGCAGCCCCTTATAAAAAAGTACCATGGTAACCATGGTAAAACCATGGTAAAACCATGGTACCACCGTGGTACCTGTGGTACTCGTCTCTAACCATGGTACTACCATCAAAGAACCATGGTATTACCATGGTTATATGACAAGTACCATCGTATACCATGGTACTTCCGAATTTGTACCATGGTACTCTATGGTACCTGTGGTACTAGTCTCTAACCATGGTACTACCATGCAAGAACCATGGTATTACCACGGTTATATGACAAGTACCATGGTATACCATGGTACTTCCGAATTTGTACATGGTACATTGTGGTACTTAATTGGCAGTTGTATGGTTCTAACCATGGTTCAGTACCATATGTTGTGTTTGTTTTGTTTGTCTGATTGATTTAATTATACAATTAATGTGCAAGTATGAGTCGTTCGGTAGGAATCGTTTGCAATTTTTTTAAACAAAAACAACAACAAATTACCGAACGCATGAAATCATTTTACCGGACGCATGAAATCAAATAACAAAACATATAAGAACCATTAAAACAAAAATTTAGAATCATTAAGAACAAGATAGAAAAAATTATGATTACAAAAAATATATTTTTTCATTTGGCCATTTATCAATAGTGTGTAAATGTAGAAATTGTGCAACAGCTTGAAATATCATAAAGAAGGACTGCACAAGTCAAGACTATTACCTACAAGCCCCAACCCCACACAACCAGCGCATGCAGCTACAGCTACACAACCAAGGAGCAGCCATTGTGTGTGCCAAGGATCGCTGTACAAGCAGTGCTAGTGCAGTGTACGTGTATGCTGTGTACATGCAGCAATATAGTACGTGCACTGTTGTTCACAGTCCAGCTTCATTCCTCGTGTTCATCTTGGTGTTTTAGATCTGCAAAATCATGCTGAATTCTGTTTTTCCCGGCTAATCTACAACAGCATGGGTAAGTTTAAGAATCATCTACTTTATTTACAATATGTACATAGATCTAGTCGATGTCTAGATAGTTATTTATGATGTCAACTGGGACTTAAAATACATTCGACAGGATAACAGTTAAGACTGAACATGTATGATCCCATGTACGTTATTTGTTGTAGTATTTTGATGGGTTTATGGGGCTTATCATTCAAACTTTCAAAGCAAAGTTTGTCCATTTACATACACATTGTCATTAACTCTACTGTTAGTATATAGTGTCACTGTTCGAAGGATTGAATGTTTTATTCTTTTTAGAAAATAAATAGAATACTGCATAAAAATCCAGCAAATTAACGAATTAAGCTAATCGATGTCATGTCTGCCTCTGCTCTGTGACTGCATGTGTGATTTCATGTTGACAGTTGTTGATATTCATATTTGTTTTTTTTATTTAATTCAAAATTGTCTTTTTTAAATTACAGATATATACGCAACATGACAAATGAGTAGTTTCCATATCGACGTCGCTCTTTATTATCATCTTGACCAAAACATCAACGCCACCATCACCATTTCTTCGTCGTTGACCTCCGTTTTGGCGTTTAAACTTGAAGTTTGTTGCGAACTCTAATAATGAATTGGACATTGGCATTATCGACTTTTGTTCTGTCTTTGAACACCATCGACGTCGAACTTTGATTGAAGGTAAGAACCTCCTCTTTACCTTCTTCGTCTTCGATTTGCTTTTCGTCGTTTCCAAGTCTGATCCTGACTCCGGCTAATGATGAATTTATCGACTTTCGATCTGTCTTCGATCACCGTCGACGTCGAACTCTATACCAAGTTTCACCATCGCCAAACATGGACTTCGCATCCGATCGACATTGCAGACTCTTGGCTGATGATTACCCGACGTCATCTATGATCTACCATAGGAAGTAGGCCTAGCTACCAATTGTTTCTTCAAACCAAATTCGAGTACGACATCGTCAACGAATCTCGCATCTCCGCTGGAAGGACAGTTTGTAAATTGTACTATTGAATATGAGCGGCAGTCTTTCGCTATAGAAATAGACTAACCACTTTACTTATAATATTGCTGTGTGCTGAAAGTGTTAGTGTCATATGCAATGTAACAAGCGGCAGTCTTTCGCTATAGAAATAGACTTCAGTTTTCGACTGTAAATCGTTTTATATATTTTACGCGAGATAGATTTTAGCTCGTTTGAATAAACGCCTTTAAAAAAGTAAACATATTGTTTCCATTGTTTGATGTTTGATACGTCATATGATCATTTGACAATAATGATCAACATTATTGTGATGTCTTTTGTTAACAGATGAAAGAGTAGTGGCTGAACCTTGAGAATATGGATAATTGTGCTGAAAGTGGACTTCATGCCAGCTCCTGACATTTTGTGTCTACTTTGCAGACCAGCATGTTCTTTCAAAGTTAAATGATCAAGGGCTGGCAGATATTATGAGGAATACTGTGTTGAAAGTGCTTAATTTAGGTAGTAGATTTGTAAATGATAACAAAAAATCAATCATGCAATGTAATCAATGCTTTCTTTTTTATTAAGCTACATGCAGAATGGAAAGGCGACTGGGTACGTGCAGTAACATTATAGTACAAGTACCATGGCAACCTAGGTACAGGAGAACAATGGTAACGAAAGGTGTGGGAGAACCATGGTACCGAAAACCATGGTCATAGTACCAAGAACCATGGTACCGAAAACCATGGTCATAGTACCAAGAACCATGGTAACCATAGTACCGAGAACCATGGTACCGAAAACCATGGTACCGAGAACCATGGTAACCATGGTACCGAGAACCATGGTAACCATGGTACCGAACACCATGTTAACACTGAACCATGGTTATCATACTTCGGTGTTACCATGGTTTTCAGTACCATGGTTACCATGGTTCTTTGTCCAAATTACCATCCACCATGAGAACCATGGTAACCATGGTACTGAAACCATGGTTTTTACATGGTACATTTTTGTAAGGGGCGGCAACTGGTATTGCGTTTATGTCAGGGCTGCATCGACAGCGATGCTGGGTGTCATGCCCTTAATCAGCGCCTCTCTAACGTTGGGGAAGCAGTGGAGGCAATCCGCTGGTTCCAGCACGCGCATACGGTCATGTACGGCCGTACCTGGCAGGCCAAAGTGATGGCGACCAAATCGGGCGAGGTCAGAGGGCCCGAGGTGCGAAGGGTGGACATTGCCCCGCGACCGGCGCAGGGCACTCCTTCCACCCCTTCCCCGTCCAGACTTGAGACCCGGATGTCAGAGTTGGAGGGACGATCGGATAAGCGAATATCCGATTTAGCGAAGAGCTTTGATAACCGGATGTCTGGTTTGGTGAAAAGTTTGGATAGCCAGATATCTGGTTTGTCTACCAGTTTGGATATCCGGATATCCGGCTTGGAGAAAAACCTGGAGAAGATTGCCAAGGCTCTAGGTGGGGCGCGAGGGATTTCACAGACCCTGCCGCCCAAGACCCCGTGGGTCGGACGAGGGTCGGACGAGAGGTACCTGGTCGAGGAGCAGATGTAGTAAAGTCTGACGAGTTAGGGATGGATGAGGTCCTCCCTGCTATTTCAGGGAAAGGCTAATGACGACAAGTTTCTCAATATTAATTCTGTAGTTGCTTTTTCCTGTTCTGTAATTCCCTCTCACCGTGTAAACTTCTTCTTGGATACTGGATTACCTTATGGGTGATTTCATCTTCGAGCTGATAAAGTAATTTATCGTTCCTGGTACCATCTGTTATACATGGTGGGGGTATGGTATGGATTTTTCCATGATTTCCAGGATAGTTGGGAATCCTGTGATATTTATGTGATCTAGTAAGAGGATTAAGACAAAAATATCTTCTTATGGCTACCATGTCCACTTCTAAGTTATCTACATGAAAGCACATAAACATTCCCTTAGTCCATGCATACTGGAGATATGATCTTCATGTACTTCAGAATGTATGGATGTATATTAGTTTAATCCTAGTTTTGTGGAATTAGTACAATTTGTCAAAATGCTTACATGTATGTGGATCTCTCCGTTGGAGTGAAACCTGTCCTACATGCTAATCATGTCGGGTCATATTCATTACGGTAATCATCTTGACAAAGGGGTGAATGAGGTTATTTGGAGTATGCGTTTTACTCTATGTTTTATTATACATCCTTTTGGCAGGCATTTTTGTAATTAGGGTAGTTTTCTGTGGAGAGTTTCTCATGCAGCTTTCTTGTAGTAGTCTTTTCCTTGGGATAGCAAAGTAAGGACTTTGCCATAGACATGTCAAAGTTGGCTGTAAGTTAGCCTCCTGCTCCATGTCCTTATCCCTGTATACATGTAGCACTGCTGCTTGTTGTAGAAATCTAGCACGGTCCATATTTATGCCTGTGTTCAGGGTTTCCTCGTTCTTCAAGTGACTTAAGGGGGATGACGATAAGTATCCCTGCAATGTTTTGAGTTGGGTGTCAATGTGATAGACCCCTGCAAGTATTTGAGAGGGGTGTCGATGTGACTGACCCCTGTAATGTTTTAAGTGGGGTGTTGATGTATACTCCACATTTTCTAGCTATCAAGGTATTCCTTGACCAGTTCCCATTGGGAAGTAGGGGTAAGCGACCTCTCTTTCGGCTTTCAGGGTATTCCTTGAACAATTCCCTCTGGGATGTCGGGGTTAGTGACCCCGGTTTGTGATTATTGGGATATTTTGATGATTTGTTTAAATTTAGCAAACTGGGTATGGTTTCATCGAGGCCATTTGATTTGAACTACATCGGTTTAAATCAATTGCACATTGCTGGCACTCGTGTCACCCTTTGATTTCGTTTGCTTCTGATTTTCCTTTTTTAGAAACAAAAACTATACTGTTTGGATCACCCTTGTTTGTTTTTTTCAGTACAAAGAAAGGGGATCGGCATGATGTTTTCTATTATATTGTGTTTATAATGAAATTGCCCTTTGAGGGCGTGATGTTTTTATAATGGGATGTATAATGGGGTTGCCCTTTGAAGTTGGCAAAGGGAGGAGGGTTTTGTTCAAGGAAAGGAAAGGAAAACAGGTTTTTTTTCCGGAGGACAACATTGTTTTGTTTAAATTTTGTATGTTGTGATTGATGGACCTGGCTGTTGCAAAAGCCGGTCTTAGCGGGTTTCAGCCACTGATTGTGGTACCCAAGTTTTTTGTTGTTGAGGGGTTTAGGTTCTCCCTGGGATGAGTTCTTTAAAACGGGGGGGAATGTAGTAGTTTTTGATATAGACTACAAGCACGAAGCAGACTGCATTAGCAGACTACGAGTGTAGCAGAGCATAGCAGTCTACAATAGCCACCCTCACCACTAGAGGGCGCTATTCCTATTGGAAGCTTCCCTGGAATAGAGTCAACCTGAACTCTCTCTCTCATGCAACCGACACCTCAACCGAACAGACGTACCTTTACTGGAAGTTAAGGATGTCAAGCCTGATTGCCTGATACATTTCCAGTGAGTATTTCATGTCTGGTTATGGTGTCTATAAAGTAGCTCCCAAGTCTACTTCAATATTATATCTCTCGAATAATATCATTAAAAAAACATTTCGAGAGAGCCCTTAAGTTAAGGCTAGGCGTTGGAGCTCCCTGGAGTTAGATCTACCGGTAAACATTTTCCTGATGCCTTGTGACGTGAGGTTCTTGTGGTACACATATAGTCTAGGCCACTAATGCATCGAGTGCAATCGACTAGACTAGAGTCTAGTCAAGACTCAAGTCTCAAGTCAAGTCAAGAAGAAAATAAAATCTAACCTGAAAAAGAATTTTCGCTTTCGGCTCCTTCCCCTGAGCTATCTTGCAGAAAATACACCCATCTTTAAAATGAGGATCTCCAATGCTTGATAAGAAGTCATTTCTCAATCTGCTGTGCACCTCACCCTCATCCATGGTATACAAATGTTTCCTCAGCTATATCAAAATGCAATAAAGTCACGAACACGATCACGCCCGGTGCAGTGGCCGGTGGTGCTGTTTCGCAGCTCACACAGCTCAGCCAGTTGTTGAATCCGCCGGAATTTCTGGGGGATGAATCGTCAGAACACTGCACAGACACTTTTTTTTTTAACTGTCACTGCCACGTGGAAAGTTTCGACCCGGCCACAACTGCGTCTCACGGTCTCAACCGAGTCTATCTCTCAATTTGAACTTGACCCTCCTCTCTCCACCCTGTTATAACCTCAGGACTGTTATCGTAGACTGTATATTAATGATTCAAAGAAGGAAATTGGGAAATTCAGACTGAAAACTCCGGGATCGGGAAGCGACGCGATCGGGAACAGCTGATTCATGTTGTTGTTGTTGTTCGTTTGGTATTATAATGGCTATTAGTCAAATTTGACTATTGTTGCCAATTTCATCGCATCTCTTTCTTTTAATGTCTTGGTAAAATTATTATTTCTTTCTTTCTTTTTCCAATCTCATTTTAATATAATATTAGTCATAGTCTACAAAAAAATAAAAACAAAAAATTATTTCAAATTAAACCACGATCCGCACACAGTTCCAACTCACGCTGGCCTAGCCTTTTGACAAGGCCTCGTGACTCTAAGCGGCTGAGATGAGTCTAGATACCCGGAGTGAACGCGCGACCGAGTGACGGAACCAAAGACGTTTAAATATAATTACTAGACGGAAAGCAGCACGCGCGGAAACCATGCAGACGAATGGGATTAGGCTCCGCCTCTTTTGGATCATTTGAAGACAAAATGGCACCCGAGGCGGCTTTTTGATTGGATATGAGCCTCATGAATATGTATTTTATCGATAGTATCGTTTAAGAAACCGGATGATATATTTGACCTCATGCGCGTCACTTTAATTATGCAGATTTATGCACGACGCAGGCTACTCGCACAAACTGAGAAGATTTTAGTTCATTGAGAATGGGTGAGTAATTGATTGAAATATGAGTAGATTAAGTGAATTTAGTCATCAATTTTGAAAAAGCTGCAATAGTCTTCGTGATGTACGGTAATTTCGTTACATTGTGAGACCGTTCTCAACAGATTTTTTGGGAAAAGACTAGGAAATTATTGCTCTTGAAATTGAACTTTGATTTTCATCGTCATGAAGTAGTTTGACTGCGGTTTGCCATCATTTCACCCTAGTACTCCAGTTAGGGGCCCGGCCGTTCCGGCAGGCCCACCCCGGGGAATTTCGGTGCTCATCTGCATCAAGATCAAACTTTCTAATCAAGTTTTATTTCAGATTTGATCGTCATCATGAATCTAATTCACCAATCATCGATTTAATTTAAATCTAGATTTAACGTTACACCTTACAATAATCTCTGAAGCATGATTTTTTTGATAATCCAAGTGGATTAATTCTTGTTAAAATCTTAAGTAGATTCTAGACCTAACGTTAGATCATAGATGTTGACTCTGATGGCTTTACTTATCAGTGCCATCCGTTCGCTCAGTTGCATCCGTGTCAACTTTATTTAGACCAAAATTATCTGTGACCATTGATAATCAAACAACTCCAAATCCTATTTCATTTAGATGTAAACCTGGAACTTATTAATAAAAAGTATTCAAAAAACATCAACACTGTCACTAGGATCTGTTTATTAGATTTTGTGTGGGTCCAGCATGCTTGTCAAGTTATCATTTAGAGTCTAACTTGTTAGACCTTGACCTTACTACTAGATCTAGATCTAGACCCCTATTAGTGGCGTACGCAGGATTTTTTCAAGGGGGAGGGGGGGGGGGGGGTTAACATTTTGAAATCGGACCAAAAATTTCGCAACGACTCAGCCAGCCACTGAATAAGCATGGGGGGGGGGGGGGGTTGGTCATCCATTTGGATTTTTTTTTTGTATTAAAAAAAAAAAACCACTAAAAAAAAGGGGGGGGGGGGGGGTTTTCCAGAAAAACATACACATAAAAAAAAAACTGAAGGTAGGGGGGTTTACCCCCCCCCCCCTGCGTACGCTTCTGACTCCTGTTATTACTTTTACTATATTAGAGATTTTTTTCTTCTCTGAATTGTGCAGTTCATGTTGATAAATCTATTTGTTTGTGTAAGAGAAGACCCCTTGTCCACAATTATGTTTACTTATGAAGTCCCCTTCTTCTCGTCTTAATAAACCAATTCTACCTATTTATAGGCCATATAAAGCACTTTTTGAGGCACAAGTTAAATCTTCCATTTGATTTTACTTTGTACTGTGGTCCATTAAATTGGAATGTTGATTTCCACACTATATTAAAATTAAGGCCAACCATGACATGAAAAATAGCTTTTATGCTAGATCTATTTTTATTTTGTTAAGGAGAAAGGGACGCCTTGATTGTCGTATTGATTTTCTTTTCTTTTTGTTCCAACAGATGGAAACTGATGAAGAGCTGGAAGGAGTTAAATGATGAGTAGACATTACAACATTTCTTATATTTGCAAGAAGAAGCTGAAAGTCCCATGCAGGTAAAATTTTCAGGATATTTAGCACACAAATATTAAACCACCACCTATTAATTCACTAAAAAGGAAATGGAACTAAGTGTATGTTTCAAGTGTGTATAGTGGAGGGAATATTTTATTCTAGTTCTTCCCTTTCTTTGTTTACAAAGGGATTTGTCCTTATTTACAGGAGGTCCTGTGTGTAGAAGAACGATGTCTAATGCACATTCAATAAAGCACTACATAATAATGATAATGATCATACATGTAGGGTATACACAGGACCCCTCATTACTTTTTTTTGTAAGTGGTCCATTCACTTCTTGAGCAATGAAGATGAAGAAGAACACAACATAAGATTAACGAAAGTCTGTTTATACGATGAATTATGGTTGATATGTATCTATTATTATCACTTTTTAATTGAAGTACCTACATTGCTTTTCTCTTATGTAGGATGATGCTTCTCTACAGTGGATGATGAAAGCATGCTGATTACAAACCCAGGAGAGGAATAAAGAACACATATTGACAGAATCATATCTAGAGATGTGGGCCTACTGCACTTCATACAAGCAAGTGTGCTAATATACCATGTAGGTACCCCCAATAAACTATTGTAGAATACATTTATCATGCAGAAAGTTATAGATCTGACAATTATATTTTTCATTGTCCATTGACTTGTAAAAGAATACTTGACTGAATATCACAATTGTGATTTAGATTAAAACTAAAATGTCAATATACATGAAATATAAGTCTACATAACGTATGTTTCAATAGCATTATTTCCTGTACATTCTCTGTTCCAAGTTGTTTGGTCATTTTATGTAAACCGAGTACTATTCATTTATGACCACGAGTTTACATTACAAGTACATTGTACATGTACCAGTATTACTTATTTCATACTTGTCTGATCCAAGCTCCATCAGGCCTATTGTCTTCATGAGATCATCAGAAATAATCTAACATGTGGTCAGTAACTAGTCTTGTAGGAAAAAAAGTTTCGGTTTTCCCACTAGAACCCCAAGTGAATATTAGTCCTTCCTCTTTTTGTCAGAGCAGGTATCAGGGTGTATGTTATTAGTTGTTGTTTATTTTCTTATACACTGTATCTTATTTCATTTTTCCATTCAACAGACTTGGGTTATCATCACAGCCCTTTCTTCTGAAAACTAGCCTACAACTTCATCGATGAATGCAGAAGACATCTACATGGGACTACGTCTTAAAGATGCCCCCTCATATAATGAAAAAGGACAGTAGAGATGGGTTTAAACTTGAATATTTACATACTATTTATTTATTATTTGTATTATATGTTTGTAGAATACCACATTTCAAAAAAAAGCTAATGAATTTATCATCTTGTCAACTTTCAAATAATTAAAGATAACTTATCATCAATGAATAAACATTAATGACATTTTAACAATGTCAACTACCATCTTATAGGATGAAACTGAGTGCTGGGCAGAAAGAAATTTCCTTGAAATTTCAGTGATAAAGATCTATCAGTCTATATCAAAGATTGAATCAATCAATGATATTTTAATTATAAGTACACATGTTGAAATTCATTTACCTTAGTCTATGGACTTCTGTATTTGAAGTTTTGTAGATTATTACATTATTGCTGCTTCAAGTATTGTATGTAAGAAGGTTTGAAAGACAACCCTCTAAATGCACTAAATATGGAAACTGCTAATCATCATTGCCTGTTGTATCCAAACTGCTAATTTTAATAGAATCATGTTTTGATACTTCCTAGCTTAAGAAAACAGGGGGGGGGGGGGCTTGTTATCCTCTTCCTGGTGCTGTTTCTAAATGAACCATGTAACAGGTTGCAAAAGTGTAAACAATATTATATTTGTTATATGTTTATATTAGAAGGATTTAGAAAATGAAAACGTTTTGAATTATACAATTACTGTTGCTAGAAGTAATGGCAGTATTGATGTGTATGGGAAGGGGGTGGTTTTCCCAGTGAAATTAACGGTATACCAATGTCAAATTGATAAAAAAGAGAAAACTATTCCTAAAAATAAAATTATAAAGGACATGGGCCTCCAACTAACTAACCCTGGTACCACTTCTGGGTTTTTTTGTTTGTTTTTTTTTTTGGAGGGGGGGGGGGCCCCAATTAAAAATTTCCAGTGTTAAATTCCATTGTCTTTAAACAAAAAATATGTCAAGATGTTGAAAAACAACGTTTCACTTTCCGTTTTCAATTCGAATAAAATGATTAACATATTTTCCGATCTCTCTGGTCTCTACATTAAAAATGTTCAAAGCTCCTGCAAAGGCTGCAAAAAGGAAAAGTGAAGATAATCCAAGTGAAATGTAGACAGTAATAGAGTGAATATGGAATGGTTGATCGTAGTTGATAACGAGTAAATGTAAATGAGTGGTAATAACAACTACGACTGAAAGTGAGACAGAAAGGAACTGCAACGGGTTGTTCAGTCAAGACAACAAACCGTTAGTTGCAGAAGATAATTTACGAAAGACAGAGAGAGAGAGAGAGAGAGAAAGGGAATCATTAAGGTACGATGAGAGTGGGTGGAGAAAAACCATCCACTTTGCCACATAATTTGTTTGTCTAAAATAAGGAAACTTTATACATTAGCATATTTAAAATGTATAAATCATAGCCAGAGAATGTGTTGTTATATGGCTTATAGCATGTTTGATTTAATAAAACAAAAACAGACCCAGTTATTGATAGACCAAAAAAGGAATAGATCGACACAGTATTTTTTATTCAATGAAGTTAAGGCCACTCCCCCATATCGCGATGCATCCTGGGTATGAGGGGTGGAGCTTAGCAAGCCTGAGATCTGTGAAAATGGATGGTTATTATCATTTTTTGGACAATAAAAAGATTTTCAGAAAAATTTATGCTGGAATATTAATAAGTAGAGGTGTAATGATGTTTTCAAAGGCTACTTAGTTGGCGTAAATATTCATAAATGAATGATACATGCCATTAAAACTCAAACAACACAACAACGAGTGGAACTTTAGGGTCCACTTCCCGATGCATCCTGGGTACACCAGCTGTTTTACTGGTGATCGATAATACAAGTTCGAGCGCGTATTTCACCTAACGGTGATCGCATCAGAATAATCCACGCTGATTCGCTGAATCACTTGCGTTGCTAGCGCGCAGCGTGATGAATAAATTACCCATAATTCCGTATAGTAGATTATTTGACCTCTCTGATTATGCTGATACGCGTATTGTCTTTTACCATGTAGTGAACACCATTACAGTACACTTTTCGCGGGGAGCATCCTACAGAATGCATAATTCATAAGGCTCATGAATTATGCAAGGGGGCTTATTTTGGCTTCTAATGGATCCGGACAAAATGGCGGAGCTTGGGGGGCCTGGACGGAACGCTCTCGCGTTCACTTGGGTTTTCGCGATTAGTCTCGTTTTAGTCGCTCGGCGTCTATCAGACAAGTGGCCTTGTTTAAAGGCTAACGCTGGCCCTGTCCTTTCTATGATGCCTTCTTACCGGCTTTCATCGAAAGGGTGCGGTGCGGTGCGGCGCGGTGTGGTGTGCTCAACGCACCCATTCGATAAAAGAGGGGGGCCTTTTCTCGAAAGGGTGCGTTGAGAGCGGAGTACCGTTTTAACACACCCTTTCGATGAAAGCGGGGGGGCTTTTCTCGAAAGGGTGCGTCGACTAGTCTTTCGCATCAGTCGTTTAAAATGAGGATCTCGGACAGAAGGTAATAGTTGCCAATTTAAGTATATCGAAAATGTATTAAATAAAATGGAATGGTCTTGATTTAGAGTGGTCTCTTTGATGGGGGAGACAGAGAGAAGGAAAAAAGGGAAAGGGAAGATAAAAGGAAAGAAAGAAGAATAAGAAGAGAAGAGGGAAAGGTGGGGGGCGAAGGACTCTTGCCCCCCGGCCCCCCCCCCCCCCCCCCGCCAAAAAATAAATCAGAGAGAGAGAGAAGGGAAAGGGAACGAGAAGATAAAAGGAAAGAAAGAAGAGGAAGAAGAAGAAAAGAGGTAAAAAGGGGGCAAAAGGCTTTTGCCTCTCCCCCCCCCCCCCGCCAAAAAATAAATAGGAGAGAGAGAGAGAGAAGGGAAAGGGAAAGGGAAAGAGAAGATAAAAGGAAAGAAAAAGAAGAAGAAAAGAGGGAAACGTGGGCAAAGGGCTTCAGTTGCCTCCTCCCCCCCCCCCCCGCCAACAAATAAATAGGAGAGAGAGAGAGAGAGATAGAGAGAAGGGAAAGGGAAAGGGAAAGAAAATATAAAAGGAAAGAAAGAAGAAGAAGAAGGAAAGAGGGAAATGGGGGAAGGGCAAAAGGCTCTTGCCTCCTCCCTCCCCCCCCCCCCCGCCAAAACAATAAATAAGAGAGAGAGAGAGAGAGAAGGGAAAGGGAAAGAGAAGATAAAAGGAAAGAAAGAAGAGGAAAAAGAAAAAAAGAGGGACACGGGGGCGAAGGGCTCTTGCCCTCCCCCACCCCCCCCCCACCAAAAAAAATAAATAAGAGAGAGAGAGAGAGAGAGAGAGAGAGAAGGGAAAGGGAAAGGGAAAGAGAATATAAAAGGAAAGAAAGAAGAATAAGAAGAAAAGAGGGAAACGGGGGCGAAGGGCTTTTGCCTCCTCCCCCCCCCCCCCCCCGCCAACAAATAAATAGGAGAGAGAGAGAGAAGGAAAGGAAAAGAAAATATAAAAGGAAAGAAAGAAGAGGAAAAAGAATAAGAAAAGAGGGAAACAGGGGCGAAGTGCTCTTGCCTCCTCCCTCCCCCCCCCCCCCCCGCCCCCGCCAAAAAATAAATAAGAGAGAGAGAGAGAATCTGTTCTGATCCTGGTCCTGATCCTCAAGAGGGATATAAAGATGACCAATAAGAACGTTATCGTTCGAGAGAGAGTGTTTGTTGCTTCTAGAACATTTTAGAATTAAGTCCCATCACATTGCAGTTGAGGGGAGGGACTATGATTATATTACCCCCTTGCATGGATGGCTTCCCATAAGAGTCCGGCTTTGAAGGTTTCGACTGCGTCGCAGGCAAAGATGCTGGGGGGGGGGGGGGGGAAGTAAATTCCAGGCCCGTATGGTTCTTGGAAAGAAGGTGAGTCGATATATATCCGTCTTGCATCTTATGTTGGAGAAGGAGAGGGAAAGAGAAGATAAAAGGAAAGAAAGAAGAGGAAGAGGAAGAAGAATTTGTGTTCTGCCAGTGTCACAAATAGATATATAAATATGCTCATCTGACGATAATTTGATGTATAAAACCCCTCACCTTTGGGCTCCGCCCCTTGGATCCAACACCAATTTGTGTCCTTCCAGTGTCACAAATAGATATAAAAATATGCTCATCTGACCGTTATTTATTGCCCAAAATCCCTGAGCTTCCGGGTGCTCCACCCCCTGGACCCCACGCCAATTCGTGACCCCTGTGTCACAAATAAGGTATAAAATAATAATTATTTAATGGACAAAACTCCTGAGCTTCCGGGGGCTCCGCCCCCTGGACCCAACACCAAATTGTGTCCTGCCACTGTCACAAATAAGGTATAAAATTATGCTCACTCGACGTTAATTTGATGTTTAATACCCCTAAGCTTCTGAGGGCTCCGCCCTGTGAAAAAAACGTGTAAAAAAAAACACGTTAATTTTTACCGTTTTTGGAGATACCCCCCCCCCCCTGGCGTTCAAGGGGGGGGGGGGTACGATTTTTCAAATTTTTGAGGGCCCCAAAAAAGATTAGTGCTCTCTAGTAATTTCGCGACTACTCCGGAACCGCGGCAGATATAAAGTTTTCTTTCATGACTTTTTTCTTTCGAGTCTTGACCTTTTGTTTTTGCATGTCAGCCCTAAAATCGCTCATTTTTGTGATTTATGTACCAAACTAGGCTTGGGAGCGAGAGCCGAGTACCCGACTCTAACCGATTCTGAAATCCAGAACCGAGGAGTCGACTCCAATCTCTAGAGAGTCGATTACTCGAGCACGTCGGTTCCGAGAAAAGGAGACTCGGTTCCAAGATAAGAACCGAGTCTTTGGCGCTGGAGTCGACTCCACAGCACCAAAATTCAAAGAGATACTTTGCAAAAGTGAACGAAGGAACATTGCCCGAACGAACTGGTGTCGATTCCACAGCACAGAGAATGAACAAAATCAGCTCTGTCAAAGCGATGGGCGCACTAGCAGCATGCTGTTTTGATACACACATTTGTGTGTGTACCTCCTTCGTAGTACTGTGCATCAGA